ACTCCTATAACGCCTTTCATTCCCACCAACCACTCAAGTGCATCAACTTTTTCCCTCTGAACAACAATACACTCTCACCAAGCTCTCTTCCTCTTCTTCAATGGTTGTGGAGGATTAAGCACCCGAGAAGGTTGAGATATCCAAACTAATTGAAGAAAAATATGGCCTCATCAGCTCCCACGCTCCCAATTCAGAGGCTTCCGAAAATGGAAGATGGGCCCACTTCAACTGGGTCGCCGCCGTACTCCAACAATCCGAAGAAGAGGTGGTCCAATTGGCTGCCGTTGTTCGTAGCCCTAGTGGTGGTAGCTGAGATCGGTTTTCTGGGCCGACTCGACATGGCAAAGAATGTTGACCTGGTCAACTCTTGGGCTGACTCCTTCTACCAGTTCACCACCTCGTCTCGGTCGTCGATGTCCACCGTCCCCTCCGCCGCCGCTGACGGTTTTACTGCTCGCGGCGCCGATGAGGCCGGGATCACGGCTGAGCGGGATCCGCGCCCCGGATTGGAGAGCTGCGAAGAGTGGTTGGAGAAGGAGGATACCGTGACTTATTCGAGAGATTTTGAAAATGACCCAATTTTCGTACACGGTGGCGAACAGGTTCGTCCACATGCATGAAACCTACTTGTCGCTGTTCCTATTTCTATTTCAGTTAATATTCCCCAGTTGATTCAGTTTACATATATAGCTAATGTTTTCCATATGATTAAGTGAATTAATCTTGAAACAGAAGAAAAATAGCAATCCTTTTAGATTGTAGCTTCTGCACATTAACTGTATGATGAAATCACTGGAATCTTAAAACCAGAGCTGTGAAGCAATGAGCTTAGAAGCTTTATCTGAAGATTATATATATACCCTCTTAACATTTCTGCTAATGCAATTGTGGATTGTAAGACTGGAACATTGGCAAAGAGGGAGAAGCTGCCAGAAGATTGATGCATTTCATGTTTTGTTTAAATACCAACAACTTTCTCGTATTTGCTGTCTAGGAATGGAAATTCTGTGCTGTGGGGTGTAAATTTGGAGCTCAAGCTGACAGGACGCCGGATGCTGCATTTGGAATGCCTCAATCAGCTGGCACAGCTAGTATACTTCGGTCGATGGAATCTGCAGAATACTATGCTGAGAACAACATTGCTATGGCAAGACGGTGGGTAAGCACACTGTGAAAGGACTCACGGTATTAGGGTATTATTTCGTTGAGCTAAAGGCTTGTGCACATGACCATCTAAATCTTCACTCTCTCACTGAAATTTGTGTTTGAACTTATCTTTAGAAATTCTGTCTGGTTATTTGCTTAGGTTATAATTTTTTTGCTTGATGACTAGATGAAGAGCCACTTTAAAGTATCAATTTTATTTTTCTAAAATTTCTTAAAGTTTGTCATTCAATGTCACAAGGCATGCACGCTATTTTGAGACTGAATGATTCTATGACCTCCATTTGGAGACTTGATCTATCTGTGGGCTTTGGCATTCATGCCCATTTGTAATCATGATGGTATGTATGATTGACTGCAAATCTGACTCTCTGACAGTTAGAGAACCAACTTCCTCTTCAGATTTGTTAATCTGAATAGTAATGAAGGAAAGAGAAGGATAGTGAAGCACATCAATAGAATAAGATGTGTTAATATAGGTTGCTTTGATTTGTGGTGGGATGCTCAAGTGCAAAATCTGGAAAGGCTGCAGGGATGGGATTGGGTGAGAGTAGTGGAAAGATAGGAAATGTGAAATCAGCAAAGTTATCAGTATTGTATATAGACATGAGTGTCCAGTAACTTTGTGGATCTTTTGATTTCATTTCGATGACATGGCAAAATCACAACCTCAGTATGCAGTTAGGAGAAAGCGTGTAGATCCTTACAGTTGAAAATAATTGCACTCTTTTCTTTGTTGATTCCAATGTGAAAATTATGTTCTTGACTTATCAGTTATACTTGAGACTCAAGTTTAGATACAGCCAGTAACCCTGAGAGGGCTTTCAGAGTTTACACCAGCTTTATGTACTATTTTATTACTTGTACATGCACATTGCCTTCAAGTTGGGGCTTCTGAAGATGTCAATTAAGACAAGGACAATTGTGTATTAGTATAGGCGTGTCTTGCACTTCAACTTCTGCAATACAAAACTTGTATATGGATCACACATTTTGAAATATGGAACCTTTTTTTTTTTTAATTGAGAAATTTATGGATCTTACTTTAGTAGAGATTTTATTTCATATTAACACAGTTGATTCAGAGAACATTATGTAACTAACTTTTCTAAACTCTATGATTTATTAGGAGGGGATACGACATTGTAATGACTACAAGTCTTTCTTCAGATGTTCCTGTTGGATATTTCTCATGGGCTGAGTATGACATTATGGCACCAGTCCAACCTAAGACACAGAAGGCTCTGGCTGCTGCATTCATTTCTAACTGCGGTGCTCGCAATTTTCGGTTGCAAGCTCTTGAAGCACTTGAAAAGGAAAACATCAGCATTGATTCTTATGGCAGTTGTCATCGAAATAAGGATGGCAGAGGTTAGAATTTTTTTTGCACACGTGTGTGTGTGTGTGTGTGTTTAAATTATTTTTAAATTTTTATTTTTGTTACAGTGGACAAAGTAGATACTCTGAGGCACTACAAATTCAGCTTGGCTTTTGAAAATTCCAATGAGGAGGATTATGTTACTGAAAAGTTCTTCCAATCTCTTGTAGCTGGTATTGCTTCCCATTTTATTAATTGTTCTTAATTCTACACCCCCTTAGGCTCTGCTTTCCTTGTTACTCTACTCAGATATTAATCTATTTTTTAAAGATTGTTTCTGTATCAATAGTTTGTTTTTTCTCCTCAATCTTGAAAATTCTTGAAAAGATATGTAAGTTGGTCTTAATGTTAGCTGCCTGCTGATAAAGATTTATCTGGGGGGGAAAAAACTCGTAGGTTCTATCCCTGTTGTGGTTGGTGCTCCAAATATCCAAGAATTTGCTCCTTGTCCTGGTTCAATCTTACATATAAAAAACATTGAAGATGTTGAGTCGGTTGCCAAGACAATGAAGCACCTTGCTGAAAATCCGAGTGCATACAATCAGTCTTTAAGGTGAGGATAAATGCTGCATTCATTTTCCATGCCAATTGTGGAACAATACATGGATTCGCTTCGTTTGTGCATAAAAGTTTAGTGTTTATTCGTTAGGTGGAAGTTTGAAGGTCCATCTGATTCTTTCAAAGCCCTAGTTGACATGGCAGCAGTTCATTCATCTTGTCGTTTGTGCATTCACTTGGCAACAAAGATCCAAGAGAAAGAAGAGAACAGTACAAACTTTGCAAAACGTCCCTGCAAATGTACAAGAGGTTCGGAAACTGTTTATCATGTATATGTACGTGAAAGAGGGAGGTTTAAGATGGAGTCTATTTTCTTAAGGTATATTCATCAATGCCTCGGGCTTATGCTTTTGGCTTTGTTATTTATGAGTTTCTTCCTATCCACTTTTATGCATAATGTATCTTGGGGAATAGGCAACATCACAAGGGATGGGAAGATTTTTGGAACTGCCAACTACTAAATTCCTCACTATTTTTGACAGGTCAACTAATTTAACAATGGAGGCGTTCAAATCGGCAGTGTTACAGAAGTTCGAGTCTCAAAACCACGTCCCCATTTGGAAAGAAGAAAGGCCCCCAGTTCTGCGAGGAGGCGATGAGCTCAAAGTGCATCTCGTATATCCTCTTGGCTTGACTCAGAGACAGGCGCTTTATTCTTTCAGGTTTAACGGGGATAGTGAGTTTAGGAAGCATATAGAAAGCAATGCATGTGCAAAGTTTGAAGTCATATTTGTATAAGATCAGCATAAAATTTTCGTGTTCTGTGACACAGTTAACTTTAGGCTTTAGAAGTGTAGGCTGTAGTTTTTGTAAACGTGATCTTGATGTCTTGTTATACACTCTTTTGTTGTAAGGTTTACCCTACATGGAATCCATTGTTTCCGACATGAATTTCAGTGTTTGTGGGCAAGTTGACATAATTTATGACAAGTTGACAACACTGATTGATCGTCTGTTTCGGTTGAACTACATTGCTTTCTCCGAAGGGTTTGTCCATCCGGGGCAACTCGGTAGAAGCCGTGGAGGTGGCCTTGGCCCTTGGGGCTTCCTGTAGGACAAAATATCCTTCAAATCCTACTAGGGCTATGTCATGGTTGGTTTTTGGTAAACAATAACCTATTATTGCACACTTGTAACCCAGATAGTAGATTGTGGGTAAAGATACATGATCGAGTCTTTAATAGTTATAGTGTGAGAGTTTAACTAATAGAATATTTTGTAAGCACAAATACTAATTCTCTTATTTAATGAGTCGCTGAATCAAATGAATTTAAATTGAACCCATTTAGCACAAACTTGTTGGCACCCCCACCAGCCTTTATATCTTGTCACACAATAGTTATTGTGTGGACCGTAGCTCACATAACTATGTGGATCATGATCTAAAAATAATGTCGTTTCGTGTAATTTTTTTCTCGAAATCTACTACAACATATATTTTTGTAACTTATAATGTACGTTATTACAAAGTATAATGTACATTCTAACTCATAAAATATATTATCTTACTCTAAAAATTAATATATTGTATACTCCGTATTATTTTAAATTTTTAACCTATAAAATATATTCTTCTAACTCATACAACAATGTCTTTTTAAATCGCGGTCCGCACAACCCTTGTCGCATGTGTGATGTGCCTGCCCATTTGCTCCTCTTACAATGAATTGAATGAATTTTGTAGACTAGCAAGTTGCATTTTACTAATTTCCAAGAGGCATTGCGGCGTAACGAAACCCGTCCCAAGGATTCATCCAAAAACCATTCCGGTAAATTCCAGCAGCAAACAGAAATGATACGTGTCACAACCTACAAGGCCCCACAATTCTAAGTGTAGAAAATGCAACTTTGAACATTAAAAAGCGTTGAAACAAGAAAAACGACCCCTTCCTCCTACGAAAGGTCACTCCCTAACATGGCGGCACCAGCCCCTAAACACTACAAAAACGGCACCTCTCTCACCTCCCCTTCCGCCTTTCACCGCTGCCGCCGCCGCCGCAGCCACCGCCTCCAACTTTCTCCATAATTCATCAAAATGGCATCACTTTCCGCTAAGTTCGTGGCGCCATCGTTGCCAAATCACAGAAACGTTAAACTGACTAAGTTCACTCGCCTCCACGCGACTCCGCCACAGACGGTGGCGCCACCAGCATCCGGATCCGCGGAGATCGACCCCGCAAGACTGGAGCCCAGGGTGGAGGAAAAAGATGGTTACTTTATACTCAAGGAAAAGTTCAGACAGGGCATAAATCCCGCAGAAAAGGTTAAGATTGAGAAGGAACCAATGAAGTTGTTCATGGAAAATGAAGTTGAAGAGCTTTCCAAGATACCATTTGAAGAGATTGACCAGTCCAAACTTACCAAAGATGATGTTGACAGTAGACTCAAATGGCTTGGCCTCTTTCATAGGAGAAAGCATCACTGTAAGTTTGACTCTATCCAATATTTTCCCATCAATTTACATAGATTTTTGTTTCTTTTCTTGTCTTTCAAATTATTCTTACATTTGATTTATCATCTTAAGTAGAATCTAGGTCTCTTTGCCTATATTAAATTAGCATTTCAGGCCAAGACCCTTGTGATCTAGTGGCACCAAGTTGCTCCCATATGGGAGGTTGTGCGTTCGAGCCTGAGAGACAATATTGACTCTGTGTGCTTCAGTAGGTTGAGAAAGTAGTTATGAACATATACTGCATTGACATTTCAGTGTTAATTGCAATCACTACTCGAGAGTGTAAGGATTCTTTGTGCTTCAGTAGGTTGAGAAAATAGTTATGATCAGATACTGCATTGACATTTCAGTGTGATAAAAGATCACATAAACCAATTTTAGATTGCCCGTAGCTTAAACCAAAAAGTCCCGCCCGTCGAGAGTAAAACTTGTAATCTTATAGTTGCTAATTCAACAGTTGATTAACTTGGTTGGGGTTGCCCATTTCAGTGATTTCTTGTAGCATGTGATGAAGGGATCTCCTATTTATTTATGTATTTGAATGTGTAATTAGATGGAAGGTTTATGATGAGATTGAAGCTACCAAATGGGGTTACAACCAGTGATCAAACAAGATATCTAGCAAGTGTTATCAGGAAATATGGGAAAGAGGGCTGTGCTGATGTTACAACCAGGCAGAATTGGCAGATCAGAGGTGTTGTGCTGTCTGATGTGCCTGAGATTCTGAAGGGACTTGATGAAGTTGGGTTGACTAGCTTGCAGAGTGGCATGGATAATGTCAGGAATCCAGTTGGGAACCCTATTGCTGGAATTGACCCTGATGAAATTGTTGATACAAGGCCTTACTGCAATCTGCTCTCCCATTTTATCACTGCTAATTCACAAGGCAACCCTGCTTTTACCAACTTGTAAGGCTAATTTGTCCAACACATTAGGTATAACTACCATACTGCGACTGTTAAGACTCGATTTTGTGTCTGTTGTTCTTTTGCAGGCCGAGGAAATGGAATGTTTGTGTGATAGGGACTCATGATTTGTATGAGCATCCCCACATCAATGATCTTGCATACATGCCTGCCATGAAAGATGGGCGGTTCGGCTTTAACTTGCTCGTGGGTGGATTCTTCAGCCCCAAGCGATGCGCTGAAGCTATCCCTCTAGATGCGTGGGTGCCCGGAGATGATATTCTCCCGGTTTGCAAAGCTGTACTGGAAACCTTCCGAGATCTTGGCACTAGAGGGAACAGACAGAAAACAAGAATGATGTGGTTGATTGATGAACTTGTAAGCTTTCATACTCCCCCTTCAACTTCACTACAAACTCTTTATTTGATTTGATCTTACAATTCTATTAATCGTTCGAACTTCTCTAAATGTTGTCCCAATCAAAACTTTTTATCTAATCCTACAATTGCATTAGTAGCATTAGCAATTCGAAGTTTTCTAGATCTTGTCCGGTTCGGATCAAAATTCTTGTTAGCAAGAGCTTATCAGCCAAAAGCTATAGCTTGCGCTCTGATATCACTTCTTAGGATAAGTATTTACCATTACATCAAAATTATAGCTAGTACTAAATACATGATTTTATTTCTTCATCTGCATAACAGTTAGTCTCACATTTCAAATATAAGGGTTGGACTTGACCCTTCCCCGATGCTAAATTTGGCCCTTGAGGGTGCAATTCTTTTTGTGATCTTACAATTATATTGACCCTGTTTGGTAACATAGTTACCTTATTAGTCAATTTTGACTTATTTGATCATTATTACCAGTTTGACTTGGTTAAACAACTCATATAAGTGTTTGATTAATTAGCTTTTTTTGTAATAGCTTATTGTTCCAAAATACTAAAATTTAAAAAGCTACTCCTGGATCACCTTTTTTAGAAAGTCATTTTGCATGTAATTAACTCTAATTTACTAAACATCTTTCGACAATTAGCTAATACCATTAACTAGTCAAAACCACTAACCCAATCAGCTAACACTATTTATTGAACACCCCATTAACAACATTAGCAGTTTGAACTTCTTTAGAGCTTGTCTTGACCAAAGCTCTTTATTTGATCTTACAGTTGCATTGACAGCATTAACAATTCGCTTACTAAGTAAGTAACTGTCCTAATACATTGAATCCTAATTTCAAAATGCAGGGCATAGAGGGGTTCAGAGCAGAGGTGGTGAAGAGGATGCCATGGCAAGAGCTAGAAAGGGCAGCTGCAGAAGATCTGATCAAGAAAGACTGGGAAAGGAGAGAATGCCTGGGCGTTCATCCCCAGAAACAGGAAGGGTATAGCTTCGTCGGCCTCCACATTCCAGTGGGCCGCATCCAAGCCGACGAAATGGACGACCTAGCCCGTTTAGCCGACCAATACGGTTCCGGCGAGCTCCGCCTCACCGTCGAGCAAAACATCATAATCCCCAACGTCGAAACCGCCAACGTTAATGCTCTTCTAAAAGAGCCTCTCTTGAACCACAGATTCTCCCCCAATCCCCCCATTCTCATGAAGGGCTTGGTGGCCTGTACGGGCAACCAGTACTGCGGGCAGGCCATCATAGAGACCAAAGCCCGCGCCCTGAAGATCACGGAGGAGCTCCAGCAACGCGTGGCCGTGAGCCGCCCCGTGAGAATGCACTGGACGGGCTGCCCGAACACCTGCGGGCAGGTCCAAGTTGCAGACATAGGGTTCATGGGATGCTTGACGAGAAAGGAAGGGAAGACTGTGGAAGCTGTTGATGTGTACGTGGGAGGGAGGATTGGGAGTGATTCGCATTTGGGAGATGTGTACAAGAAGTCTGTCCCTTGTGAAGATTTGGTGCCATTGATTGTTCAACTCTTGGTGGAACGCTTTGGTGCTGTTAAACGGGAGAGGGAAGAAGATGAAGATTAAGAACTCGCAATGATACTCTGTTTTTAAGGCTTCATACTTTCCAAAAAATAAAATATTTGTACTTTGGCATATTTTTTAATATTTGGAAAATGAATTGTATTTTTAAAAGAGTAAATACTCAGAATGGTCCCTCGATTATAGCTAAATTTATAAATTGGTCCTCGACTTTCAATTTCAACCAATTAAGTCCTTAACTTTGTAATTTTGACACGATTTGGTTCTTCATCTATTTGATCGTTTGTTGACCGTGAACGACGATCTCTAGAAGAACCTTCAGCTCCTCGTCGGAGCACATGGAGACCTCCTGGATGACATTGCACTGGTTCGGAAACACGTCGTCTTCTTCGCTCTGGTACGAACTCAACTACATTGAATCCAAAGGGAGGATGAAGAAAGGCGACCAGATTTGGTAGATTGCTTTCGGCAGTGGATTCAAATGTAACAGTGTGGTCTGGAAATGCAACCAGAACTTTAAAAAACCAACGATGGACCATGAAATTACATATATATCCTCAAAAATCACAGTCAACAAACGGTCAAATAGACAGAGGACCAAATTGTGTTAAAATTACAAAGTTAAGGACTTAAATTGGTTGAAATTGAAAGTCAATGACCAATTTGTGAATTTAGCTATAGTCGAGGGATCATTTTGGGTATTTACTCTTTTTAAAATAAACAAAAAAAGATTTCATTTGCCAAACACCTTATGCTCATATGACATGTATGAACTCTCTTATATGTGAGGTCATGAGATCAAATCTTAGTGATATTTAGAATCTCCTATAATAAAATTCTTACTTCATACCTGTCTCTGCGGAGATTTTGAGGGTGCGGATAATACCTAACCCGCAACTCTAATTATTAATATTACACTCAAATCTAATAAAAATTTTATACTACAATTTTAATTATTACACGAATTTTTTTTATAAAAAATTGAACATAATTCTAAAATTTAATAAGCGTAAATGAAGTTAATCGTTAATTAAAACTAAAATTGCGTCGATAGTATAATTGTATTAAATGTTTACTCATAATGTTATTTGTGTTGTTCCTATTCAATTTTCATTAACAAAAAACAAAGAAGTTTAATACATTATGCATTTTAATTATAAAATATACATAAACTTATATAATAAAAGAATACTAATAACAATATATATAAGTGCAGGTGTGTGTGCGGGTGTAGGTGCGGGTGGGGGGCGGTGCTACCTCCCCCGCACCCGCCCCCATACCCATGCAGATATACAAAATTTCTTCCATACCCGCACCCATTACCCAAATTGTACGGATATTTTAAAACCCGTAGGAACGGGGACGTGGGGAACCCATTAAGTGCGGGTAGAATTGTCACCCTAATGATATTACAATTTAATAGAGTCAGTACTAAAAAAAAGAATTTCTTTTAAAATTTTGATATTCATAAAATGTATATATATATATATATATATATATATATATATATATATATATATATATATATATATATATATAATGTGAGCTCTCTAACTCTGGTATTGGTCAATCAAACATGATGGAGTAGAACATCACCCTCACATGTATTACGGAGTATTCGCTAATATACGTCCAAACAAGGCAAAACAAACTCTTTCGTTTTCCACTGGGGTCAATATGTGACAACTCACAAGAGTTGTCATTAAAGCATTGTTTATAGGAACTATCTATTTTGAATCGTGGGTCCAATCTTTCAAGCCTATGTATTAATTTTTTGAAAGATTGGTCCAAACTCAAATGGTTATGAAATATGATGGGTAGATTGTTTTGGCCTACAATAAACCAAACTAGCTTAGTTGACTTGTAACAAACACATACCTTTGTTGCATTGTCTAAATTGAAGCATACCGTATATCTCAACTAAAAGTCTAAATTAATAATTGAATTGTATATTTATGTTTATGTATTATATGCTCAACACGTTCCTCGCATATGAGCTTTATTTACTTTTACAAGCTCCAAACAATCATAGTCTTTTTACCAGGTGACATACAGATTCAAATCCATGATCTTTGATAATGAGGCTAACTCTAAACATGTGCTCCATCTCAATGCAACTATAAAACTAAGTCAATAGTTTGATTACTTATTTACTTTTTGAATTAGTGGGAGGGACCCTAAAATTGTACATTTAATTGTAACTGTTAAGACACTTGATTGGTGATCACATTAGCCAAGCAAAAGGACAAAAGGTGCATATTAGTCTATTTACAAGGTATCATTGTGGTATAGGCAAATTAGATACAGAGCTCATTAGACTCTTACTAATTATAAAACTAGGATGAAAAAAGTAAATAATAATAATAATAATAATAATAATAATTATTGATAGATACTCAATATTTAAACCCAGTTAAACCGCCTAACCTCGATTAACCCATCTAAACTCAGTCAAAATCCTACTAATTAAACCCCATTTGACCACCCTTAAATTATCCTAATAAAACCTATTTAACTACCTCATCCTAACCCCCAACTTAATACCCATAACCCCTCATCCTATTTACTACCCAATTAAACCACCATTACCACCCATTATTTCCCCATTAATTACCCATCTCCTACCAAACGTCTACCCCTCACCTACAACATATTATTCCATTAACTACCAATTAATTACATATTTGTTTCTTCTTATAACCTCCAATTTATCACATATAAAGCCTAATAAATCCCTTGTTAATTACCCAACAGCCATAATCTTGAACTTTGTTACTACAAAAGGAAGAAAGGAAACAAGAAAGGGGGCCATCTCATTCATCTTCACATGGGAGGACTCTCCCAAGAAGACCACCTACTATTCTTTCTTAAGAAGGCATATCACTCATCCTCACATGGAAGCACTCTTCCTATACTACTCTCACAACAAAAAGACTATCAAAAAGACTACATTCAAGGCTAGAGAGAAGAAGATATATCATCATTCTTACACTACTACATGTACAAAATAGCTCTACAACATGTACAAAGACACCTCCAAAATACATAGTGAATTTAGGCTTGACACCGTCCAAAAAGGCCCGTGGTTTTCACCCTTCAGTTTCCTCGTAAAAATCATTGAGTCATACTTCTTCTATTTTAATAGCTTTATTTGAAAGGTGAATCCACCAACCACGGTTGTGTTAGACCTCCCTGGGCCTAAAAACCTAAAATCAACAACAACAACAACAACAACAACAACAATAATAATAATAATAATAATAATAATACAAAGAAGTCATCCCCATGAATGTGGAATTTGAATAATATAACTGATTGATCAATTTTATACAATTAAAAGAAAAAAAATTAGTAGAAGCAATCAAGCAGTGTTGTCGAATGTAGTAGACTATAGAGTGGAGTTTGTAGACGACATACGATTTTTTTTTGAAAAGAAAAAATATCGTATGTCGTTTACTGTCTCCACTCTATAGTCTACTGCATACGACAACACGGTTTGATTGCTTCTATTAATTTTTTATTTTAATAGTATACAATTGATCAATCTTTAATTTTAAATTATATTATTCAAATTCAACAATTCATCGGGATGACTTATTATTATTATTATTATTTACTTTTTCATTCTAGTTTTATAATTAATACGAGTCTAATGATACAATAATACAAGCCAATATAAATAAGTGAGGGATACAAGATGAGAGAAATTGATATAGAGCGCAGGACTTAAGAGATTGTGCACCTTTTCCTTGGCTAATGTGATCAGCCAATCAAGTGTCTTGACAGTTCCGTACCTTGACGACATACGATTTTTAGATAAAGAAAATTTAAAAATCGCAAAACCGCTGATTTTCTGGTAAATGGTAATGGCAGTTCGCTTGAAATCCTTGATTTGGTGTATAAGACGTATGGTATTACAGTGAGACCGCTGGGGGAGTAGCCAATAGCGTTGCGTATCCTTAGGGCCTGCGGGACCCATGGCCGCTAAAAGCCATAGGGTGGCCTCCACGGAAACACCCGTTCCGCCACTCACATGATCTCGGCCTCCGCCTTCCGGTGCTACTCCATTCCTCTCTTTTTCCCTCCGCGTTATTCTCGCTCTCTAACCACCGCCCCCAAAATCAGTGTCAGTTCGTTCTATATACACACTGCAGGAGCTCAGTGCTCGAATGCATGATTCGTATCAGAGTCGGATTGAATAAGTCTACTGAAGTGTTTTTTCAAGTTCTCGAGGCTCGAATCCGCCCATGGATTCGATTTGGTCTGAAAATGCCGTCCCCGGCGTTTCGCATTTCGCCGTCGCGACTTACTTCGCCGTCGCTTTCATCGCCGCCAGGTTCTTGCTCGACAGATTCGTCTTTCGTGTAAGCTGATTTTTAACTCTGCCGCTGTAACTGTTTGTTAACTAGATTATTACTAATGCCGTGCAATTGGAATAATGTGTTCGCATTCGCTCAGTTAGCTGCATGTTTCCATTATCGATTGTTACTTTGTTAGTTACTACACTTGCATTTTTTTAAAAATAATTTCGAAGAGTTAGTTCTTGTAAAAATATAAACTATATATTTCTGGTGATACTGTGCTGTTGATGAATGCTAAATTCATTTTTTACTTAATGTTTGCATGCTCAAATCATATTTCCTTAGTAAAGTGTATTTGGATAATAAATACAGATGCATGCATTTGTGGGATATTCTATGTTCTTTTAATTCAAGATATTGGTTAAGTGAAAATCTAGGTAATTACACAGAGGAATGGAATAAATGTTCCAGCATTTAGAAATTTAAATTTTAAGTTTCTTTTCTGTTTCATGAGAACTGATGATTCTATATATACATCTGCCTAATATTAGTCAAGAATTAAGATTAAGATTATAGTTATTATTGGCTTGGAATCTGTACAAGCACACCTGTTACACAACAATCTGGACTATTATCTGTAACAAAGAGTAGCTAAGTATTACTGTTCAAACTGGCCCAACAAATGTTAGCAAGAAAACAGAGATTCACTTTTCAGATGTAAGTTGTTTGCTGTTTCTCACAGTTGACCATCTTGTTCAGAGGCTTGCCATCTGGATGCTGGGATATGGAGCTACCCGCAACATGAATGAGGCTAAAAAGGGGAAAATTGGAAAATTCACTGAATCTATGTGGAAATTTGCATATTATACCACTGTTGAGTATTGTGTCCTAAAAGCCACCTATCATCTGCCATGGTTTTACGATATTAAGCAGTACTTCAGAGGCTGGCCAAATCAAGAGCTACAGTGAGTATTTACCTGTTATGCTTTTCACCTTGTAGTTGACCTACATTTCTTTACAGTTGGAGGAAATGAAAAGTAGATTTTAGAGTGGTGCTCTGCAAAGTCTTTCCCTCTCACATTAGTTGATTTTGTTTACTAGGAGGTTGCTTCATTTATTTATTTCATTGTAACACTTGAACTGTGATATGAATATTTTAATTAGTTCTGAATGCAAGCAGATAACCAAACTAGATTGGGATTAAGCCTTACTTGATTTACAGTTGCATGAATTCTTGTATTTCATCAAAATGCAGAATTAAATCCTGAACATATCACTTAAGTAAGTACCTTAAGTTCAGGGATCTCTTCCAAATGGTCAGTTATCAGTTACAGCCTTAACATACCTAATTTCTCTGATTTACTTATTAATGGGAAGCCACTGTTACAAAAACAAAAATACATTATTCTTAATTCTGGAGGGCATACTAGTTTGAATCACACTGATATTTGGCCCCTTATATGGATAGCTCATGTGAAATGCTTTTCCAGGTATATATGGTCTCTGGGGTTTATGAGAACTGTTTTTGTTGCAAAATATGTATAAAGAGCTCGTGAAAGATAGAATAATAACAAAATTATGTTTAGATGCTCGTAAATAAAACCAATAAAAAAACAAAATTATGCTTTATCTCGTGGATGAGCTTTATTTATTAGTTATATTACTTTTATGTTTACTTGTACTTCGATTTTTGAAAATTTTGAAATGTCATTTCCTATATATATATATATATATATATATATATATATATATAATCACTCAAATGCCTAATTTGGTTCTGGTGCATAATGGCCTATTGAGATCAGAATGGCATAGAGAAATATTTCAGTTGGTAGATGTGTAATTTCTAGAAGAGCATGCTTTAGATTTTGTCTTTTATAAATCCCTGTAAGAAAAGATTGTGCTCAGAGTATTTGCTGCCTTGTTCATCACTGAATCCTTTCATGTATTCAAGCCTTAAAAAAACCTCTGGAAGTAGGGGCAAGGTCATTTACATCTTTCCCCGAACCTCAAATTGTGGGAGCTTTAAATTGGGTATTTAGTTCTGACCTTTATATGCCTGTAACTTCCAAGGGATGCAAATGGGATGTGTCATTCAAAACTTTTCATTTTATATGCACATGTACATAATGTGTGTGTATTTGGTATAGATGCTCATACATTAATAACTGAACTGGTTTCTAACATGCTTCCTTTTCTGTGTCAGGCCTTCCATAATTCTTTTATACATGTGCCAATGTGGGTTCTATGTCTATAGCATCGCTGCCCTCCTTGTCTGGGAAACTAGAAGGAAAGATTTTGCAGTAATGATGTCTCATCATATAATCACTGTCATACTGATTTCATACTCATACATTACAAGGTAAATTTCAAAACCTGCTGTTCTTTTTAGCCTCCTGCTTTGAGGTATTTGATTGTTCATGAAGTTTATGGTCTCTTTTGGTAATTCAAGCCCCAAAAAATAAAAGCTTGCCCTCTGGCTTCTTCTGTCAGTAGAGATTCTATGATAATCAAGGATTAGTATCACTCATCATTTATTGTCAGCTTTTAATTTCTACACACCAGAAGTTCTTTATCAGTTAGGTTGGGTTTATGTTTTGTTTTGGTTTTTGTTTTTGTTTTTGTTTATCGCTACATGCTTAACATAAAATGAAGAAAGATGAAGACATTGCTTGACAGAAAGGAATATGCTGATCTTTGGAGCAAAAATAGATTTTATAAAAAAAAATGATAAAGGGATTTTGTATTGGCTAAAGAAATATAGAGGTCTAAAACAAATCTTGGGTTGGCTAATAAATCTTCCATTATTTTAGGTTTTTCCGAATTGGGTTAGTAATTCTAGCTCTGCATGATGCAAGTGATATCTTTCTGGAAGCTGCTAAACTCAACAAGTACTCTAAGAAGGAGTTTGGAGCTAGCCTATGCTTTGGATTGTTTGCAATTTCATGGCTTGTTCTACGACTAGTTGTTTTCCCATTCTGGGTCATAAAGGCTTCAAGGTATGATTGCAAATCAGAATTCAATGTCATACTTTTTATCACATCCCTGTGTGCTCTAATGGTTTTTTGATTATCTTATGGTTTGCATTCCCCAGCTTTTATATCCTTGAGGTGTTGAGGATGTCAGACAGCTATGATAAGTCATTATACTATGTCTTCAATACCCTGCTGTTGACGCTGCTGGTGTTTCACATATATTGGTGGATTCTTATATGCTCAATGATCAGTAAACAATTGAAAAATAAAGGAAAAGTTGGGGAAGACATACGGTCTGGTAAGATTTTATGAGTTTTACCAAATTATAGATTACTCTTATCTATTTATTTTACTCTATGCTAATAAATATCTATATCACTAAAATACAGATTCAGAGGATGAGGACTAGTTGGATGGTTATGCTCATCATTTTTTTCCCATTATTACATGATGGCTTGGGAAGATTGCTTATTACTCCAGTTGTTGTAGCGTTGTCTCTGCGTCTATCCCTTTACCCTTTTCAATCTTGATAGAATGATAGTAGTAGCCGTAGGCGTAGGCATATCTGTGATTTCAAGTAACGACAGTTTTGGTTGTACAAATATAGTTGTATAAATTTTCTCAAAACAAGCATATGGAAAATTTTTTTGGTTGCCCAAAAGTATCTCTTTAGCCGATAGCAAGAAGACTAATTTCTGTCTTAGCACACTAAGTGGTAGTAGACTGGTCAAATGATTTGACCCATTCACATGGGTGGAGATCGATGAGGTGTTGAACTATCACTGCCAACCATGTTGGTTAAGCATATGGAAAATGTGCTGCTCCTTGCAGTTCACTTTACTCGAATCATATACACACACTTTATTCATCTGGTCTGTTCTCCAATAACTATGAAATGCTATTTGAACTTAGCTTGCATCTAGAAACATTAGCCGTCGTAGTCAATTATATGTGTACTCCTTCTAGAAAGAAGTGCAGGATTTGGTTTAGTTACAAATCAAAACGAGTAATATTCTCATGCCGTGAACGAACTTGGGCTGAATGGTTGACTCCTCACTCTTGTATGCCCTTATTGTCAACCATCACAGCTTTTTTTCCCATTTTTTAATTGAACCCTAGCAAGACCCTAAAAGGCATGACCGCATAGTCAGCATAGACACTGAGCAATTTAACAAAAACAATAAGCTGCCAATTATTAATTATACGAAAAATAAAACAAAAAATTTATAGTACATCTTTTTTTTATTTTTTTTTAATTGGTTGATTCACACTGATTAAGGAAAATTGCTAATGTTTTATGGAATATTAATTACATAAGTTGGTTGCGTAAAGGTAATATATTTAGTGTGTAAACAACAAAAGAAAAGAATGTTTAAGATTCTATAAATGTTTAGTCCAAGTCATTGCATCAAAGTATCATATAATTATCATGCAACTCATGCAATTTATATACTTTTTAAACATTCACTTTCCGTCCATCATACAACAAATATCAACTTCAACATTGATAATTTGTTTTATAATAAATAATATATTAATTATAATTCTTTATTATATGTTTAATTTAATTTAATATAAATTAACAAAATTCATTTCGATATCTTAAAAATTTATAGAAATCTATATTTACAAATCATGTAAAAAATAAAATTATAATATATAATTTATCTATTTTATTTACAAATTTCACTTTTATTTAAAATATATATATTAAATAGGGAGTATTCATTTATTACTCAAAAAACACTAAATATAAAATCTGACATTATCTAAATCTGACCCAGCCTATTTTTGAAAGTTGAAAGAGATAAGATAACGTGCGAGTGGTCCACGTGTCAGTTAAAAGTACATGAGTCCCGTATAACCGCCATCCCGCCAGTACCTTCTTGGAAGGTAAAAGCACCGTGTGAACACGCCTTGAAGATGACGTTAGGCTGTCCAAGTCACCCACTGGCACCTGAAAATTGATACACAGTCTCGCCACGTCATACAAGAAAGCACTCGGAAATACCCACGTGCGAATAAAAGATTGTCAATCTCTCCGTATGACAGATCAACACCGCGTGTTAAATAAGTGTGAACTGTGGAGACTCCGACGCCATATATATAAGCTGCCAAACTCCCCCGACCGTGTTTCAAAGACAAACGAGTTTTCAGCATGCAGAGGATACCCAAGAGGGTTAATAAACAGGCTGAAGTATTCTCCTCCTCCGCCCAAGCGCCGCCGCGTCTCACCGGCGACCAGGAATACTCCGTCATGGTCACCGCCCTGAAGCACGTCATAGATGGCAGCGCGGCCGCCGCCGCAATGGAGTCCAATTTTGATCGCGACCTCCATTTCGAGTCTCTCTCTGCCGCCTCGACCTCGACGGCACGAACAGAGGTGCCGCCGGTGTTCCGCGTCCCGGAAGGACAGACGTGCCAGTTCTGCGAGATCAAGGGGTGTTTAGGCTGCAACTTCTTCGGCGCGGCGCCGGAGATTGCCGCTGCCGCCGAAGATAAGAGGAAGAAAAATGCGGGTAAGAAGAAGAAGAAGAATTACAGGGGCGTGAGGCAGAGGCCGTGGGGGAAATGGGCGGCGGAGATTCGAGACCCGCGTAAGGCGGCTAGAGTCTGGCTCGGAACTTTCAACACCGCGGAAGAAGCCGCCCGCGCTTACGACAGAGCCGCCATCGAGTTCAGAGGCCCGCGAGCCAAGCTCAATTTCTCCTTCGCCGATTACACTTCATACGCGCCGCCGGAGCAGAGTACTTCAAGCGTTTCTTCATCTCATCCTCATCCTCATCCTCCTCAGCCGCTGCACCTACAACAACAACAATCGCAGCACGAAAACATGGGATTCGTAGGAGGTACGAGGAAGGAAAAAGAACTCTGGGAATTCGCCGGAGACCAAGATTTTCAGGACTTGATGATGATGATGGATTTCAACGCCGACTCTTCTGATTCAGCCAGCGGAAATCTTCACAGCTTTTAGAAAAACAAGATGACAAGAGAAAGAGCTCTGTTTTCTCAGATTTTTTTAAAAAAAGGCATCCGATTTTACTTTTACAAAATTTGGTCCATCTGTACCAAAGAGACATAATTCAGACAATTTTGATTAAATTTTATGTAACTAATCAAAGTTGTATTATAAATAAATAACGGTCCTATTTGTTAAAATAATTAGGCAATTGTGACTTGTTTGATCACTATTAATTGTTTGACTTGATTAAAAAAAATCAATAAGTGTTTGATTAATTAGCTTTTTCTAACTCTAAAATGTTAAAATTCAAAAATATTGTTAAAAACAACTTTTTTTAATTAGCTTTCTGAAAAAAAAAATTTATTTCAAACAACTATCAGCTAATTTGTCAAACATCTTCCTACAATCAGCTAATGTTATCAACTAGTTATATCCATGAACAACATTTTTCCTAAAAACTATGCTAAAATAGAAGTGGAATCATTATTCTGAGGTCAGCTAACAATAATATGTGTAAATTGAAGTATACAAATCTGAAGTATTTGACATGTGCTCAATTTTGTCAGAATCAAAGAGACATTATTGGGACAATTTTGATCATAAAATCAAGTCTTTTTCCTAAGAACTATGCTAAAATCGTAGGGGATCGGATTAGTATTGTGATGTCGGCTAAAAATGACATGTGCAAATTGGATGAATGCAAATCTGAAATATTGGACAATCAACATGTGCTTAAATGAGTTATGTCAATGAAAAAGCAAAATGAAGTCACCTGAAGGAAGAAAACAAAAAGGGAGCAGTCCCCAGCGGGGTCAACTCAGCATTATCAAATAAAGGAAATTGTCAACATCAGATACTCCTTTTGTCCTTCCGTCCATTAAAAAAAAAATTATTGGAAAATAAGTATACAAATTGAAAAACAATGTTTTTTTATTTTGTTGAATATAATATACAGTGGAAAATTGTGTGGGTGAATGAGTAAAATATAAAATAAAATAAAAAACACGTCAAAGAAGAAATGGTCCGTGAGGTGAATTGAACACGTATTAGTTACCACACATGCATTGCTCAAATAGTTCAATGTCCAATGTATATTTTTAAATTATTGTTTCAAAATTTATCAAAGTATCATTCGGTATTCTGACGTATATCAATGCAAGATTATCAAATTTTTCATAAAAGTAAATATTTCAAGAAGGCATAACTATGACTTGTGACATAATTTTTCACAAACATAATTGGATATTACCCCAACAATGTTTCAAGAACACCCTCATTAGATATACCCAAACATAATTTTTGTAACATCAACAGGAATTTTGAACTTTATACTACTTATTATTCCCTTTTAATTTTCATATATACCAAACATTAAAATTAAAATTTTCAATAATTTTATTCCAGCAAATCAAATACTGAAATTTAAATTATCACTTTATTTCCACATTTATTTATCTCTTATAAAATTGCAATTCATTTTCTACATAATTTTCTCCCGTAGAGAGAGAGAGAGAGAGAGAGAGAGAGAGAGAGAGTTGGGTGACCCCGCAAAGACCTAATTTTTTCAGAAATATAAATCCTACCAAATCATTGATGACAATCTCCTTCGTGTGAGGCGCAAAACAGACGCCCAGCTAGGCCCGTAAATACAATTTTTTTTTTCCAAATTTTCCTATTCTCTCTTATTTAGCATTTCAAAAATCCATAAAAAAACATCACTATTGAAGATCACCTTAGATATACTGACTAATAACAGATAGTAAATCATTGAAGCGCACTGAATCAGTGGACGATAATACTCGGTCCAAACATGGGGTCAGCCGTACTCGCCACTCGGTATTGTTGACGGCATCACCGCACCACGCTTTGGAAACTCTTTTGTAATTACTTTCCTCAACTTCTACTCATCTCTACTGTACAGCCAGCTTTTACAAGTATATTCTATAGATGCCAAACAGCTAGTAATCCTACGTCAAACAATTGCACACGTTGTAATTATCTAATAAAAAAAAATTACTTACAACATGTGACACAAAAATACAATTTAAAAAATTATAATTAAAATGTGTAAACTATTATGTCAACTTAGCAACAGATAAATACTATAATTTACTTATTTTATGACATTACATCATACAATTTTGTAAAATTTTATTTAACATCACCTCAATTTTATTGTATTGCAACAACTAGATACTTTAAAATAGTGTCACTGTGATTAATTATATATATATATATATATATATATATATATATATATATATATATGGGTCACATCAATGAGAATGTGTATACATGTGTGAACTTAAAAGTGCAATATGTAAACTATAAAATTGTATTCTATGATATTAAAAATGTGCGAATTCTAAAAGTGCACAATACAAAATTTCAAAAGTCTACTTACTTTTTAATTACGTTTTTACATATCATAAGGTACACACATGGAGTGCATTTTTACGCATTATATGATGAACTTTGTAAATTATGTAGTGTATTTTTGCACTTGAGCGCACATTCTCATTTCACTCGTCTACTATCTACTATATATAATATTGCAGAAGGCACTAGGCGCCTAGGGGCGCTTATGCGGTCGAGTAATCCGAGTATATTGTCATTACTTTTTCCACTAAGGGCTAGGAGTTGTTAGACGGTTATAATCTCCCAAACTAGTCAACTGCATATGTTAGATGGTTAGTTGAGTACTTGGCTGGAGAAATATAGAAGAGAAGTAGCCAAGCAAGCAAAAAAAAACCACTCGGTCGAGTTGAACGCCAACTCTAGTTAGGCGCTTGAATCGGCCGAGTTAGGCGCTCAACACAGCCGAGTTGGCGCCTTGTCGGCCATTTAGTCGGTCAGTCGACTAAAAGTCGCCTAGGCCGATTTTTACAACACTGACTATATAGAGACACATAGAGAAAAATAAGCAAACTTAAAAACTACATAAATCTTATTGCAAAATGCTAAAAACATCCGCCAGTGGCACAACAAACATGTGATATCCACTTTGAAAGGAGCAATAAAGTGGATAGAACATAATTTTTATATCAAAAGGTCATTAAATTTATTGCACAAAGACTTCTTAGTGCGATTTGCTTCTGTTGTAAAAAAAAAGATGGGATATCAAGGATACAAAGACTAAATTACATTTGGTCTGCCATGGGTACTAATCATTTAATTTAAAAAGGTATTTGAATTGGCCTCGTGCATGTATGTGATATACTGATATAATGCTTTAAGCACTTCAACGTGTTAATTTAGAAATTAGCACGCGAGATTGATTTAATTTATGATTCCCAACTTGGCAACTTATCAACTGCTTAATCACTCACTAAACATCAACTTTTACGTTTATAACAATCATCATACTGTTATAATGGAGAAATATCTGCTTGGGAGAAGAGGATAAATATCTGGTAAAGAATAAATTCCATAGCGGTATGCACGTGCTTTAATTTGCTTTATTTGTGTTGGGAGGCATGGAATGGGAAAAGAAAATAAATTTTTATTTTTATTTTTTTTTAATAACAAGAAAAATCTACAACTATTAAGACTCTGTATTTCAGACACACTCTGAATTGGGGAAGCCATTCAACCAGTCGCCCGTGCATAAGCAACGGTCAAGTCTCACTGGTCAAAAAATTTTCATCGATCAACCTCTTTTCTACGTAAACTCTGACCTCGCAAAACCTATATCAATCAAACCTTCCCTATCAATCCAATCCTAATGAGCCGTTGAGTCGCTGCGATCTACCCTCCACTATCATGCCGGGCCGGAGTCGATAAACAAATAAGTCATAATGGATGATCGTGGGCCAAGATTCCTCACATCCGTAATTTCTTAAAAATCAACCTAATAGGTGATCCACTATTTATGGGCTACATGTCTATGGCCCAAAGTGAAATCATATTAAGCAAAGCCCAAGCCCATTGTCCCTCGTTGAAGTGGCACTGGCAGTCTCACAAGTCGCATAATATAATAAGACAATAGACATGAACAGCGCAGCACAGGCGCCGCGCCGCACCTCCTTTACTTCATAACGAAGCTCCACGTGTCGGCGGCTGACAACCGCCAACCACCGTAGGCGGCAAACTTATGCACCAAATGCTCCATTTTCAGTGTTAAAGAATAGACAATTCCGACGTATACTTGACTACTATTACTGGTTGATTATAAACATTAGTGTATAAATTTACCAAAATCATTGCAATATTCAGATTTTCCTTCCGAAACAATCTGTTCAAATTTCTCATCGTTTCAAGTTCATTTTCTGTTAACTATTTTTTTGGTGAAGCAAACACTTAGTGATCGCGTTGAAGGATGGGAGCTTCACAGAGTCGCGAAGGTCTCGAACTCTCTGATGATTCAGACTATGAGGAGGAGGAGGAGGAGGAGGAGGAGAATGGAAGCCAAGGAGATTGCCGAGACGCAGCAGAGGATCAATCACCAAATAAGGCTCCGCAGGTCAGTAGCAAAACCCTAGACGAGGTTGATGCAAAGTTGAAAGCTCTAAAGCTGAAACAACATTCAGCTGAAACCCCTGGCAGTCTCCAGAATGCCGTGAAACTATACTTGCATATCGGTGGAAACACTCCGAAAGCGAAATGGATTATTAGTGAAAAGCTCACGTCTTATGAATATGTGAAAGGCTTGAAAGTAGGCGATGATGAAGATTCTAATAGTGGAGATGAGGGGTTTTGGGTGTTGAAGGTGGGGAAGAAGGTAAGGGTTAAGGTTTCAACCGATATGCAGTTGAAGATGTTTGGGGAGCAGAGGAGGGTTGATTTCGTGGATAATGGAGTTTGGGCATTGAAGTTTTTTGGCAATGATGACTATCGAAATTTTGTGTCTAAGTTTCAGGATTGCTTGTTTGAGAATGTGTACGGGATGAAGGCTACAGAGGCTAATAAATTGAAGGTTTATGGGAAGGATTTTGTTGGGTGGTTCAAGCCAGAGGAATCAGATGATGCTATCTGGGAGGATGTGGATGCAGGGATATGGAAGAGTCCAGGGAAGAGTACTGTGATGCCTATGAGGGCTAGTCAGGATCTGCTGGAAGAGTTTGAAGAGGCTGCCACTGGTGATGGGGTACAAAGCTTGGCCTTGGGGGCTTTGGACAACAGTTTTCTTGTGAATGATTCTGGGGTTCAGGTTGTGAAGAATTTCAGCCATGGAATTCATGGAAAAGGTGTTTATGTGAAATTTGAAGATAGAGTTAGAAAGGATAGCTCAACACCCAAGAAAACTCTTTTAATGCGAGGGGAGACTAATATGATGTTAATGAGTCCTTCAAAAGAAGGGAAGCCTCATTCAACTGGCCTTCATCAATTGGATATTGAGACTGGGAAGGTTGTTAGTGAATGGAAGTTTGAGAAGGATGGGGCAGAGATTACAATGAGAGACATTTCAAATGATACGAAGGGATCACAATTGGACCCTTCTGCATCGACGTTCTTGGGGTTGGATGACAATAGGCTTTGCCAATGGGATATGCGTGATAAAAAGGGAATGGTACAGACACTAGCCAATACAAGCTCACCTGTCTTGCATTGGACACAGGGCCACCAATTTTCTAGAGGAACAAACTTTCAATGCTTTGCAACTACTGGGGATGGATCCATAGTTGTTGGCTCACGTGATGGAAAGATCCGTCTATATTCTAAGACTTCAATGAGGCAGGCAAAGACTGCTTTTCCTGGGCTTGGTTCACCTATTACTCATGTTGATGTTACTTATGATGGCAAGTGGATTTTGGGCACAACAGATACATATTTGGTCCTAATATGTACTTTGTTTACTGATAAGGATGGAAAAATGAAAACCGGTTTTACTGCTCGGATGGGGAATAAAATTCCAGCTCCAAGATTACTGAAGCTGGCTCCCGTGGATGCACATTTGGCTGGACAAAACAACAAGTTCCATGGTGGCCATTTCTCTTGGGTAAGCTACTCATCTTTGGCTTTACAGTCTATATGGTTTCATTTAACTACTTTTAATACTACACTTGCCGATCACCTGACTGTCAGAGAGGGTACTGATACTGTTATAGCTTTTTGTTGCAATGAGTATGCAATATGAGTTCAAAGAGGTGTTTGTACAGTTGCAGATACTGTGCACTGCATGCCACTTCCCCCTATTTAAACTACTTCTAATTATAATAATGAATGCTTTTGTTATTATACTGTCATAGCCGTCTCCATGTGATCCTAGTTGTCCTTGAGCTTCATCACAGTGGTGCTCAGTGAAGTCTAAATACAGACCCTCAAGTCTAAGAATGAAATTCTACTATTAACTGTCTGAATACCCAACTTGTTAGAAGGTCCACAAATAGTTTCAGATGATCTGTAGTGGTAAGATAAATGCATGACTGACTATCAATCTATCATCTTAATTTTTAAAGAAACTTTGGACATTCAATTCAGTAAAATTTATGTCCCACTAGGGAAGACTAGATGGTTGGTATATTTCAGTGGGTGAGTTAATATTACAAAAAAATTGAACATTCAGGAAAACACCGCTTCTTAGTGTGCTACAAGAGAAGATAATGTACACTGAGTGATGAATCAAATGCTTTGGGTACCTACCAGGCCTGCTATAATACTAATATAGGATTCTAGGTGTACTTATATTTATAGTTGTAATGATTCTAACAACTTGGCCTAAAATAGGAGTATGGTTATTTATAGTGAAATATTTTTATTGTTTTACATGTTATGGAGTAAGTTCTTATTTAAAGTTTTTACAGTTAACTGAATTTTTACGTGTGTTGTCATCTTCTAATGCCATATACTCATATCCTGTAAGATGATTGTGTTGTGATTCATATGTTGTGGTAACTGGTAAGTCCTTCTGGACTAAAACTACATACTCCTGACATATGCCCCGTGCGCCTATGTTTCAGGTTACTGAAAGTGGAAAACAGGAACGCCACTTGGTTGCAACAGTTGGCAAATTTAGCGTGATATGGAGTTTCCAGCAGGTGAAGGACAGTGCACACGGCTGCTATCAGGATCAGCAAGGGCTCAAGAGTTGCTATTGTTACAAGATAGTGTTGAAGGACGAGTCCATTGTCGAGAGTCGGTTCATGCATGACAAATTTGCAATAAGCAACTCTCCTGAAGCTCCATTGGTAGTGGCAACCCCTATGAAGGTTACTTCCTTCAGCATGTCCAGCAGGCGGTGAAATTTTGGATTTTGTAGCTACTAGCTCATAGTCTGTTTATAAGCATGCATTTGAGCTGTTGTTAGTGCCCTTCCGTTGTCATTTTTTTCCACGGTATCTGACAGTTTTGCCGTGTCAAATGGACAATTTGGTTCTTCCACTACTTGTTAATCATTTGTGAGCTTAGTTCATTGCTGATCTATTCTAAATTTCTACTGGCAAAGAATTGAAACTCTTTTGAAAGAAATTACCTAGTACATTAATGTTGTTCAGACAATACAAAAGGTGTTGAACAAAGAACATCCACCAAATTAATTTTGTAAACACATTATCAGAACTGGTCACAATTTTGTTCTGAGCAACGTGCCATAAGCCGTAACTTACATATTTTAGCACAAAATACAATTTTTAAATCTGCACCAACCATCTCCCTCCTTTTCGCAGCAGTCAAAGGTAAGGGTAAATCCCCAGCTTCAATGCGATCAAGTCCAGGTTCTTATTTCCATTTTGTTGTAATACTTGTTTATTTCATATTTTAGCAGGATTGCAAGGAGGTTTCGGAGCTACCAAGGAACAGGGTTCATGGAAGGGGAAAGAATACTGACTGCAAATCCATTCCGTGCCTTGGTATTGTTAACTCTATGTTCTATGCGTTTCGAATAAGATTTGGTACATATTTTTCTTGTTTAATTTGAACATTATTGCTTGTCCCTTTCTTTAGCCAACTGGTAGCATAATGCATCCATAGTCCTCTACGTATGTGGGTATTAACTAGATGCTAAGAATTTCATAAACTGCATTAAGAGCTGTGCTTTTCTGCTTCGTTAAAAGCCAGCCTCAAATGAAAAAGGAGTGGACCAAAAACATTGGCATCTCGAAAAGGAAAAGTTGCAGTAGCTTTTGAGAATCTAGTTCTTCATAGCATGTTTGTCTAGATATTATTCATCTTTATTCAGCCGCCCCCCTCGAGGATAAGAATTCCTTGCTTTAATGTGATAGGTCTTCACAGAATGTCATTTCTTTTGGTTACACAAATCACATCCATTCTTAACTCTTTCTACTGCACAGTGGCCCTTGATTAACTATGTTTGATTAGCAATATCCAGCTTTCGCTCTCCTTCTTCTAGTGAAAGTACATGCAGTTGTACCTGGCCTGTCAATGTGTAAAGAATCAAGAATATATTATATTCTCTGCTTACTAGGTGCATCCCATTTCTGGAATCACATCTTACCGTGTTCTTAATTCTTTACCTGTTAATTAACCTAAAAACGCGGTTTGCCATTCGTGTAGGAATAAAGTGGTTCTTCTTTATCTTCGAAAAGTGGTTCTTTATTCTCTGTATGTACGCGCCAGAATGTCTTGTGCATTAATGTTCATACCTATTTATTGTTTGACAACAGGTTGAGATTTCCATAGTACTCTAGTTTTCGCTCTATCAACTGAAATAACTGCTGAAAGAATGACGAGCACAACTTTTCTGGATATGCAGTACAGCCTCTCGAAGAGAAGTTTCTTGAGGAAGCCAACTAATATGTTCTCGCGCAGTAGGCAAAACAGCAGGCAAAACTCTGGCTTGGGGCCGACTTACCAACCGAGTATGTATGATCTGAAGCAAGTCTTTGACAGATTTGATTCCAACAGAGATGGAAAGATCTCCCCAGATGAGTACAAGGCCATACTAAGATCCATGGGAAAGACGATGCTGCTTACGAGGGAAGTCCAGAAGATATTCGAGGTTGCAGACTCTGATGGCGATGGGTTTATAGACTTCAATGAGTTTGTGGAAGTGCAGAAGAAGGGAGGAGGCATGAAAATGATGGACCTGCAGACCGCATTCAAGACGTTCGACAAGGATGGCGATGGGAAGATCAGTGCGGGAGAAGTGTATGCGCTGCTGCAGAGGCTCGGGGAGAAGTGCAGCCTGCAAGATTGCAGGGAGATGGTGAGAGCCGTGGACGCTAACCGAGATGGCGTGATCGACATGGATGAATTCATCACCATGATGACTCGAACCGCCAGGATCTGTTAGAATTTACAGGCCAAACTAGCAAAGGGAAATGAGACCTGTAGTTAACTTGAATGATGATTGGCTTATGTGTGTGTGTGATTCAGTGTTGCTTCTGCTGCTTTTGTGTAGACCTTTATGATTATGTGAGTTTAACTTTCAATTGTTACAACCTTAGGAGCATAGAAGCAAATCAAGTTTACTTTAGTATGGGATAAACTTGAATAATAATCTGTGTAATTTTATACATTCCAAATAACAATCTGTGTACTTGATTTATATATATTCTCATTCATTTTCATATTAAATGAGTACTCCAATGTACTTGTTGATAGATAAGGACAAGGAGGCTCCATGTCCTCGGCAAGTTGGAAATGGAGCCTTCACTTGCATCCTTAACCAACAACTGGAGATCAGAGGAGTTTACATCATCGGAAAAAGGTGGATGAACGGGCCAAAAAGCCTCGTCATTTTAACGGCGGTTTTATTAAAACCAACGTTATAGATTTGAATTATTGTTCCCAAAAGATTAAATTGTCAATCTCAAAGGTTCATCACACAGTCACGCTTCGACCTAGCTAACAGAACATCTAGGAGGGTGTAAATCATGAAAACTCAACTGAACACAAGCTAGATCTTTGTTTACTGCATACAAGGAGCCTCCCTTACTGGTGAGACTCAATGAATCACTGCGGGTGAGGCTCGATCCGAAATCGTTGTTCCCAAATTTCACTAATGAGACCAACTGAGCTGCCCATGCAAGCTATAGGTTGAATATATGCTATTTCTGCAGTAGTATATGTACCCTAGGCGTCTAACTCCTAGGGAGGGGCATATGGTTTTTTCGAAAAGACTTCATTCAAGGACATCTTAAATTTTCTGAGCTATCTCAAACATTGTTTACATTTAATGTAACAATCGTAACGGTCTGTTTTATCACTGTTCCAACCGTTAAGTGTTCATGATTTACAATAATTTGTAATTAAAGCTTAAAATTTTATAAACACCCTAACATAGGCAATAAGAGGGGACAACCCGACTTAGTTAGACTTCGACACTCTGTAGAGATTATCTATACTGATTAACTATGAGCAATCTATACTGATTTAATTTAATTTTTAAAAAAAAATTGAAAACCAACAATATATCAATATTTCATTCAAATATATGTATATACTGACATACACACACTCTTGCGTGTATATATCTATACAAGTTGATGCGGTTTCACGCAATGGAGTTCGAATTTGTGTGCATCAGACAAAGTAGATGAGGCTTTGTACGTCGGCCCAAGTCTGAACCAGGTCATTTTAAGCTGTTAATGCTTACCTTCTACGTTTGATATGCACTGTAAATCTTGGTTTTGCACAACACTCTCTATATATTGCTTCCTTTAATACATTATCTTTACATATTTAATATACATTATATTGAAGAATGGGCCATTCTCTTGATCCGACATTGCAAACCGTGCTAGTGAACCAACAATAAGCATACAACAAGAAAATAAAGTCCATTTTCCCCTATAATGAAGGAGAAAAAAACAAATATATGTTTATCGGATGGGAGACCAAAAGCGAAACACTGCTTGTGACTTACACCAATAAGTCACTTTCCTTTTTGGTACATTCGATAGAGGCAAAAATTCAATAAGTCTTTTGTATTTGTGGTAATTCAGTGGCCTACTAACATAATTAGCTTATCAATCAATTTTAACATATTTGATTATTATTAGCTGTTTTGACGTGATTAAGCTGTTAATATAAGTGATTGCTCTAAAATGCTAAAAATTCAAAAAGCTGTTCAAAGCAAATTTTTCGATAGAATTTTTGAGAATTATTTTGTATGTAATCAGCTATCAGCTAATATCTAATTTACCAAATATCTTTATACAATCAGCTAATGCTCAACTAGTTAAATTCACTAACTCAATCAGCTAACAACTATTTACCAATTAAATCCATTTGTTGACCCTCAACAAACTTACACAATTTAGAATGAGAAAGACCATGCATGTGAGTTTGAGGATAATTTTAGCAATCCATGTCTGGAATCAGAATCCTTTTGGCTTTTAACCATATCTGTACACCCATATGCCACAAATTAAAGTGTTAGTCAAATGGATTAGCTCGGAGAGTTTTGGATGCGTCCATGAGAATTCAAAGAGAGAGAGTCTCATGACATGTGCCATTGCATATAAGTTGCCAGTTAGGCATAGGAGATAACAATGCAGTGATCTTCTGCCCAAGATAAAAATTGATGATAATCTTGAAACGGAGGATAACACATGCAACGCCGTTTATTTTATTGCTCTTCACATGTCTACAACGTTACATAAAGCAAAAATTAATTCGTCGTTAAAAAAGGTGTTTTGACTCGGATTAAAGAAGACAGATCTGAACAGCATTGTATATATCATCTGTCACAATTTTATATTTTGCATATTTGCACACTAATATAGTCGTCCAATCTTTTAATTACACAAGAATAGAGTTCATCTCATACACTTTCTGATAGTAATTGCAGATTTTCATTGTCATTGCCTGCACGGGCTTAGCTCACACTGATTCAGTAGACAGTATTTGAGAGAAGAGACCAATATTCGAATTTCGGCCGCGGCAGTGTGGGGATTATGCACAAAGTAGGCTGATCCCTTGTGTGCATCGACATTTGGCCATGTCTGCTGAGCCATTGAGTCACCATAATTTACATCATCCCAAATTCTCTGTCATGCCCAGAGTGTGGAGGGCCCTTGGAATTGGGGGTTCAACCTTTTGGGAGAAGAAGATTATCATTGTCGTTTAAATTAAGACAAGACATATACTCCACCTTGTGTTGTAGTGTCACGAAGTGACTTACCCATATGGAGGTCATGGGTTTGAGACATTGACACTTTAGAGTATTTATTGACTTTCTCGGTATACTGTACTTTGTCTAGAGGAGAGAATAACTTACAAAGCACAAGGTACTACTTTCCAAAAAGCATAGCATTATAACCCATTGTAAAATTTCCCAATATATAAATACTACTCCGTGGCTAGCATTGTGTATATATGTGAGAATTAGAGAGAGTTGGGTTGAATTTGAGCAGGCATCATATCCTCTCACCATGGCATGCATAAACATGTTCAATAATGATCAGCAAAGCCTCTGCACATCAATGGGTCCAAGAATCTCCTTCTCTAATGACTTTGCAGATTCCCAGCACCCAAAGAGGCATGATCACAGCTACAAAGAAGCTCCAGTCTCCTCAGACTTCGAGTTCTCAGTCCCCACCTACAACATCATCTCTGCAGATGAAGTGTTCTTCAAGGGCAAAATCTTGCCCTTGAAGGAGAAATCATCCACCAAGACTCTCAGAGATGAGCTCCTCCAGGCGGCAGATGATGATGACTATGGCGATCTCTTCCTAAAGGGCACCAGCAGCCGGTGGAGGGAGCGCTTGGGGTTGAAGAGATCTCCTGTTTTCCCCAAGAAATTAGCTGACCGGAACGACGAAGGCCGCCTCGAAGGAATAGATGAAGTTAAGGTTCAAGATTTGATCAACATTGCAGGTGGGAAGTAGCCGGCCTGCAAAGGAGTACAGTGTTTCCTAATTCCTAGTACTGTCCTGTTCTCTTGTTCATGTCCGAGCAGCTAATTTTTAAGAATATTTGTTCCCCTCCAGGCTCTGATCTGGATGGATAATGTCCTTCTGTCATAATTTTTTGTTTTTTTTTTTTCTTCTTTCTTCCTTCCTTCATATATTAGGAAGACTAGATGGATTCTGTACACATGTGTTGTTCTTATGTTCATCTTTAATTTTCTGTACAAAATGTTTGCACTTCAGTCTAATAATGTATGCACTTTTATACGTTGATCTGTTCTATATAGTTACGGACTCGATCTCATTCTTGTAGCCCTTTGCTGGCAACCAATGACTAAACAGTAGTTTATTTATGAATCTATCAATCTGCATTCTGCAGCGTGGGAAATATTCCCTGTCAAAAGGCATAGAATTAATTTCACTTTTGATCCCACGACTTTAGAGGATCTATCACTTTTGGTGCACAACTTTAAAAGTTTTCAATTTTGGTGCCTAACTTTGTTGTTTTTATCAATTTTGGTCCTTTCAACCAAATTGACGATGAAATATTGCCGGATTTTATATTTTTAGGGGTAAAATCGTCATCCCAAGGAAACATCTTCAATATCTAAACAAAATCACTCTAAAATCATATCTATAGGTGTTTGATCGATGAGAATAATTGGGAAGACGGACAGAAACTAGACACAGATCTATGAGATTTATAGCATCGACGATTGCCAAACTCTTATATTTCTCTTAACATGATTTTTCTTTTGTTTGGATATTGAATATCTTTCCTTGGGATGACAATTTTGCCCCTAAAATGTAAAATCCAGCAATATTTCGCAGTCAATTTGGTCGAAAGGACCAAAATTGATAAAAATAACAAAGTTAGACACCAAAATTGATAAAAATAACAAAGTTAGACACCAAAATTGATAAAAATAACAAAATTAGACACCAAAATTGAAAAAATTTAAAATTGTGCACAAAAAATGATAGAACCTCTAAAGTCGTGGGACCAAAAGTGAAATTAGTTCAAAGGCATATATACATATATACACTGGTTATGAAACATAAAATTGACCATAGTAAATTGCAGCAATCTAGGTTGCCTGCCAGGCTGCCCAACCACATCAGTTTCTCAGATCTTTCAACAGAGTGCTGCATCCATAAAAAAGCAAATGTATTTCGCCGACATTATATTGAGAACTGAAGTTCCTGGGCCATGACAAGATATTCAAGCCCAAAAAAGTAGGAAACTGATAAATGGGTCGGTCAAGCCCAACTTGACAGGCCTGTCACCCCAATGTGGGCAAATTATTCTGTAGGTCCGGGTCCACCTTGCAAGGGAGACTCGTATCCAAAAATGCAAAATTTACATAGTGAATGTTCATAATTTGAATTGTGAACATTCAGCATGTAAATTGTGTATTTTAGACCCGAATCAATGATATAACGGTTGCCCAATGAGACAAGTGACAATTGACTTAATACTCAGAAAGTTCTAATTTTGACTTTTAGTGGGAGTGGCTTATTAACATTTTTGGTAATTGGTACCCATTGATCAGGTTCACCTTACATTGTGGAGCTGATCCAAAAATTGTTTATTTACAGTTAGTTAGTTAACTTAATATGTGCATTCGGTTAATAAATTATGTGGCTGTAAATAAACTTAATGCACGCGTTAACTACATACACATAATTTGAATGTCATTTTAGATCTGAATTTATAATGTAAGGTGGACCCTGGGACATGGTATAATTTGTCTATTTTTTGTTTGAGACCCTGGGGCTTGGTAATTGTATGGAATTTGGTTGCATGTTTTGTAGTAGGGTGAAATTGGAATGATTACCAATATTGATGTTTGGTTATATATGATCCTATAATGAAAATAAAGGTCTTAAAAAATACAAAAAAAAATAAAAATCAAGGCAATTGATCTTAATATAGTAACATCCAACCAACGATTATGTTGACATTAGTAGCTTGTATATGTCAGTATTCTCTTTCCCTTATAATAATAATAAAAAAATATAGTAACATCCAAAACAGCAATATGAACAAAAAAATCAAATTAAAAATGAGTTAATACCCAAAATGGTCCTCGACTATAATGGTTTTTCTCAATTTCATCCTAAACGACTTTGGTGACCTAATATCGTCCCACACTTTTGTGTTTCGCTCAATTTAGTCCCAGACTTTTGTATTTTTGCTCAATTTAGTCCCTCATTTGTTATTCTGTCCATTTGGTGTTAAATAAATAGACAATTTAGTAATTTCAATATTGGCATTTCTCTTTACTCATAGACATGTGAACTGTGATTTTTTTTATTTACGAATTACTCCCAGAATTACTCTTAAAACTGCGGATATAAAATTTGATTTGCAAGTCCGGGAGTAATTATGAGTGTAATTTGTACAAGAAAGAGAAATTTTGCACTTCACAAGTTGAAAGTAAGGAGAGATCAATATTGACATTACTGAATTGTCCCTTTATTTAACATCAATTTGACGGAATAACAAATGGATGACTAAATTGAGCGAAACACAAAAGTTTGGGACGATATTAGGTCACCAAAGTCGTTTAGGACGAAATTGAGAAAAATTATTATAGTCGAGGACCATTTTGGGTATTAACTCAATTAAAAATCTAAAAGCACTAATTCAAACTAAAAAAAATAATATTACCAATAAGATGAAATGATACATTTTAATTAAAGAAGTAATCAAATTCAATTGTTAACCAAACACTAAGTATAATTCTAATTCATATTCTTAGAATGCAAACTCATGAATTAAACAGTAAACACACACTTAGTACGTGCAAATGCGATGCGAGTTTCCCTCACCCAAAAGAGATTAAAACAGATTTACGGCAACATGAAAGCGTGTTTCTCGTTAATCAGTAGTACATGAAAGCGTGTTTCGTATGCGCCGTGGCTCGTGTGCTATTTGAACTTTCCTATTTACTGGTGAATTATTGTCTTTGTCACTTTCTTACTAATTGAATTGTGTTATAGATTTCATCGAGATTAGAAAACGTCGTTATTGGACACACACGCAAATTTTACTCCGATAAGTCCAAAGACCAGCAAGGCTGCAACAATGACTGCAAAATAAATTAATTTCATAGAATGGGCAAGTCTGAAACTGTGAAAGCAGTCTTTGATAATTAAAAAGAAAGTAAAGGTATAACACTCTAATTGAATTAGTCAAATAATTAATTTGATAATTTTAAAATTTTAAATTCAATTATATATACAAATTGTCTATTTATTTTCTTGATCTGTGTACAATTAAAATTAAGATTAACAGATTTTTATAAATAAATAAAAAGGGTCAGACAAATCACAGAAGTGTAAAAAATTTAAAATATCAGTTTAAATTTATTACATGTATTTTTAAATTTTACTTTTATTATTTTTTGACTTGATAAATAATAATAGACTATTTTCATGTAAATTCCAAATAAAATGTATAATAATTTCCTACCGATTTAGATCCTTACGACGTGGCATTGGACAAATGCGTCTTGTGCACCGTATATATGAAATATTATCATATATGTGCAGACTGTGCACTCTGACCTCACCTCCTTTATAATATAAACTGAAGCTAAAATGTCAAATCATACTGAACTTACCAATCTCTACGCCTCCGGAAATCTTCTACGATTCTCATCGATCCCTAGACTCCGAGAAGCATGGAGCTCAAGCCTGGATTATCGGCTTTGGTCACCGGTGGCGCCTCCGGAATCGGTACTTCTTCTGTTTCGCTGAAATGTTTACTGTTTGCACTCTCTGATTGATATTTTTTTACCACTGTGGAACAAAATCTGTATATTCATGTAGTTTACTTTCGATTCAGATTGGATAAGGTGATTTGATTTTTAACTGGAAGTGGATATACCGAGTTGGCGAACATGTTAATATTGAATGATTTTGCGAACATGTTAATATTGAATGATTTTGCGAACGTGTTAATATTGAATGATTTTGCGAACGTGATAATATTGAATGATTTTGCGAACGTGATAATGAAACGACTCATGATAGCAATTATACCTATGATAGCAAACGTACAGGCGAGCTAGAGATTTGTTAATTCTAATTTGTGTCGTATAATGAATATCAGCTTTGAGCTTAATCCGGTCGATTGTCGTTTATATTTTATATTTCTGCTTCTTATGGGTCCATGTGCTAATCATCGGGCAATAGGCTCCTAGAAAGATGTAGCTCAAGCCTGGCTTATTGGCTTTGGTCACAGGTGATGCCTCTGGCATTGAAACTTTCTCCTTCTGTTCCATTGAAAGAAATTTTTCCTGGATTCCATTGCATGATCAATCATTTTTTACCCGAGTACACAAGTGACTTTGATCTATTTGGATAATTCTTTTATTCAAATAAGGTTTAAAATGATGTTCAGGTTAGATTTGGATTAGTTAAGGTGAGCTTATGTTTGAAGGGTCTCGTTGCAGCATTATTCCTATGATTGTGAATGTATTTTTGAACTACTAATGCATTGACTCAAAATTGTGAATGATTAATCAACTGTTGAGCTTGTTGTGAATTACTGCATATTATCTTTAGAGTACAACTTTTGGGTCTAGTTTATGCTTATTTCATGTGGTATGCAGGTAGAGCACTTTGCTTGGCACTTGCACAGAAGGGTGTTTTCCTCACCATCATTGATTTCTCTGTGGAGAGAGGAAAGGAAGTAGCATCTCTGGCAGAGAAAGAGATTACTAAATTCCATGCTGGACTGGAGTTTCCGCCGGTAACATTCATCAGATGTGATGTTACTAATACAGGTGAATAAACTGTGTTTGCACAACTGGCTCATTGACAAGGAGATTGCAATTTTCTACTTCTCATTCAACTCAAATAAGAGTTTGTTCTGTTTCTTTCATCAGTTTTGATCATTAATTTTCAATAATGTTCCATGAACATTTCAAATTCTAGTGATGCTTCACTTTCAGAATGTTGGCTTTTACAGGAGAACTAAAAGCTGCTTTCCAGAAGCATTTGGAAACTTATGGACAGCTGGACATCTGCATTAACTCTGCAGGCTTGGGAAGTAATGTGCCTTTCCATAAAGACCAAACAGATGGATATAAAACTTGGAGGCACACACTTGATGTTAACCTCATTGCTGTTATTGATTGCACCAAACTTGCTGTGAGTTTGGATTTTCCATTCCCATGATCTTGGGTGTTGTTATTGGTCAATAAACAAGTACTTACCTAGGCATGTTGCACAGATCCAAATCATGCAAACCACACAAAAACCTGGCATTGTTATAAACTTGGGCTCTGCTTCAGGACTGTATCCAATGTATGGTGATCCTATCTACTCTGGTTCAAAAGGTTTGTTGGGTTCTTCATGGATAAGTCACCTTCTGTATATTTTTTCTGGGTTTAAGTTTTCTTTGTTTTCATGTTTCTTCACTCTTCGATTATGCCAAATTGCTCCCACTGAAATGGGGAAAAATTATAGGGGGTGTCGTCATGTTCACAAGATCACTCGCTCTATACAAGCGTCAAGGAATACGTGTCAATGTGCTTTGCCCTGAGGTGAAATATTTGATTTTCTTATACATCTATGTTTTTTTTAAATGATGACCATATTCATCTCATATGTTCTCAGAATCTAGTTAGAAATGTGACAAGTATTTCCTATATGTAGAGAATTTTTTTATTTTTTTATTTTTTATTTTTTTATGGAAATAGCTTAGATGATAAAGTAATACTAATGAGTGCTTAAAAACTATTCAATATATGGACTATAATGTGACTGCTAAACATAGCACAAGCTTTTGCTCTCTTGTTGTTTTGCTTGCAGTTTGTTCAAACAGACTTGGCTTCAAAGGTGAATCAAGACTTCATTAATAAAGCTGGAGGGTATTTGCCAATGGATATGGTGATCAAAGGTTTGTAATTTTTTTTCCTGCTTTACAAATATGTTTAATTTCACATTCTTCCACAACCTGGAGCAAGGGTGATTTATATCAACAAAGTTGCTTTAGAGTTTCCTTTGTATTTTGAAGTTCTCACATTACATTTATATGGTATTGCACATATATAAGAAAAGTAATTTAAACAGTAACTTTCTTTTGATAGTCTTCCAGTTTTGATGTTCAAATTGTAACTTCTTCAGGTGCTTTTGAACTTATCAGAGATGAGACTAAGGCAGGGTCATGCCTGTGGATTACCAAACGTAGAGGAATGGAGTATTGGCCAACTCCAGCTGAAGAAGCAAAATACCTCGTGCATTCTTCTAAATTACGGAGAAGATCTTCAACTTTTGTCCCACCAAGTTTTCAAATTCCCCAAAGCTTTGAGAAAATGTAAATGAATGATTTTTCCCTTGTGTTCCACCTCATCTGGTTGGGCAAGCTTGCTCTTGAGCCAGCAACTTATTTATGATTAAATACTTGCTTCTACTAACTAGAGATAATATGCAAAGTCTGCAAATTTGTTGCCCTTACTTTTCCTTTTATTTTCTGTAGAGTTGTACACACCTTGAGTAACAATTTTCGTAGCGCTACCAGAATTGTGCGTGCTCCATTGCAATTGCCTATCAAACCAGATCATGTTCTTTTTAAAGTCATTTATGCTGGTGTTAATGCTAGTGATGTAAGTTCTATTATATCTCAAATAAATTCTTTTAACTTTATGTTAACAACCTTTATATAATTTTATATACTGGTTGGTTTACTGGTAGGTAAATTTTAGCTCTGGACGTTACTTCGGTGGCGGTAAAGATGTTGACTCCCTCCTTCCCTTTGATGCTGGATTTGAGGTGCATAGAGGATTTTGTAGTTAGCATTTGCCATTTGGCTTGTTATTGTTAGTATTTTTGTTTCAATAATAATTGTATTAATGCTGTAATGTTGTAGTTCCTGCTAGCACCATTTTTGGACAATTTTCTTGCATGAAATTATATCTATCAAGTAACTTGATTTCTAGCACTTAAAATTTTCTGTTTCTGATTTTTCATGGATATTTATCTTTAAAATGTGTTTTCTAAACTATCTATGGCAGGCTGTGGGGATAGTTGCTGCGGTTGGTGATTCTGTGAGAAATTTGAAGGTTGGCACTCCAGCTGCCATTATGTCATTTGGTGGTTATGCTGAATTTACCATGGTACCACTATGCAATCTATATAGTTTGAGAAGTTCTTCAAACTGTTGACATTTTGTTGTTTGGAGGAGTTTTACGAGAATTGGCTTCCACTTTATCTAGGTACCCGCAAAACACATCCTTCCAGTAGCGAGACCAGATCCAGAAATAATTGCAATGCTAACATCTGGACTCACTGCATCAATTGCTTTAGAAAAGGTCCCTTTCAAATATCAGTTTGTGTATTTTTGACATTTTATCCTCTTTATTTAATTGCGTTGGATATTAAACTTCTGATGCCATTGTACAACTGTTAATCTTGGTTTTCAGACAACACACATAATGTACTGTCTTGACCAATATATTTTCTTTGTTTTTTTTTTTTTTTTTGTTTTGTTTTGTTTTTTTTTTTTTTTTAATGGAAGTCAAGGTTGCTCAAATGGAATCGGGAAAGGTGGTTCTTGTGACTGCTGCTGCTGGAGGGACAGGGCAGTTTGCTGTGCAGGTATACTGTTAAAAGTGCATAAGAATCCAACTAGGATACTGTAAATACTAGCAACACAGGCATTTATATGGCTAATATGTGGCATTTGCATGCTATGTATAACTCCTGTAGTTTCCCTCTTTTAATATATTTTCTCCAGGTAGTGTTTGATTTGGCTTTAGGATTAAGTTTTTGTATATAAGTGGTATTCACTACTCTTTTGATCATACAAGGATCTTCCTTTACTTCTTCAATCTGATGGTAGCTAACATCCAATAAATTGTCATTGCAGCTTGCAAAATTAGCTGGAAATACAGTAGTTGCAACTTGTGGAGGTAATGAAAAGGCCAATCTTCTGAGAGACTTGGGAGTTGACCGAGTAATTGACTACAAAAAAGAAGATATAAAATCTGTAAGTCTGCTTATCTCTACACTTAGTAACTTGCATTTTGATGGGTGAAGTGATTGAAAGAGGAGCAATGGATAAATGTGCCTTGAGTTGCTGTTCCAGTTGATAACTTATTCATTCATGGTGCTATGATGCAAATGTCACTTTTCGGGTTGTATAAATTATTTGTACTTGCTACTCTAAGGGATAGAAAGGAGAGCAAAGGAAAACACGTCTTGAGTTGCTATTACGGTTGATAAACCATTTTCGTATGTGGAGGTCTAATCCATTTGTCACACTTCTAGGTCATTCAAATGATATGCCTTGGTAATCTAACAATTTTCTTGTTAATTTGATTGTATTTATTGCTATTCAACATCTTAAGTTCCAAGCACCATAGATGAGTTCTCTCAGTTTATGGTTGCCAAAAGGTCGATTTCTATTCCGTATTCCGTCTTACAAAAAAGTTCTTGACAAAACTGATTGCTTCTGATCTGGTTTTTCTGTTGATGTGCAAGGCATTATGTCCCCATCCCAAAGTAATTTATCTTAGTTCTACTATACCAGGTTCTGAAGGAGGAGTTTCCAAAAGGTGTTGATATTGTCTATGAGTCTGTTGGTGGTAAAATGTTCAACTTATGCATGAATGCATTGGCACGCTATGGGCGACTTGTTGTCATTGGAATGATTTCTCAGGTTTGAACTTTTTCCATTGTATGCTTTCTTATCACCCTTGTGTACCGATGTGTGCATTATGATCTACTGCTTGTTCTGCTTGATCAATGTCACTTGTAAAGTTTAACTGAAAAGTTCTGGTTTCAGTATCAAGGAGAACATGGATGGAAACCACAAAATTACCCAGGATTGTGTGAAAAGATTCTAGCTAAAAGTCAAACTGTGGTATGTCAGCTCTATCTCATTTTATTCATCAGTTTTTTTTTTTTTTTTGAGGAAATTCATCAGTTAATAATGTCCTTCCAGATTTCTTTTCCATATAGTTCCTTTATACTAATATACTATGATAGTGACCACTCAATTGGTACCATCAATTTCATCAATTTCCAATCATGTTCTCTAACAGTTTTTGCATAATAAATGTTCACATAGGCACCTAGCAATATGCTAAAAATTTCTCAGCAATCTGACTGAAATTCTTCCTTATGTTAGCCTTGGGAATATTTGCTTGTAAATGAACATATACACAGTTAAATATGGTGCAATTACTATTCTGTGTTTTGTCACTTTTATGGGGTCATTAGTTGTAATCCATAAGCTCACATTCTCCTTAAGTCCATGTGTTAATATCTTTCTGTTATTCCAAACACTCAGATACTACTTCATTAATTTGGTGGTGCAATTGTTTTCAGAGTGGGTTTTTCCTGATACATTATGCTCATCTGTGGGAAGAGCATTTGAGCAGGTTGATTGATCTTTTTTCCTCTGGAAAGCTGAAAGTAAGTATACCTACATATCCACCACAGAAAATATTTCATTTAATATCTGTTGCTTTTCAAACCACGCATTATCTTATGATTTTGAATTAGACGTACAACCAAGTTATAAGGTTTAGTGCATTATAAGCGTTACAAATCCTTTTACTCTCTTCTGTGTCCAAGGTTGCCATAGACCCAAAAAGATTTTTAGGCGTTCATTCTGTTGCTGATGCTGTTGAGTATCTTTATTCTGGTAAAAGCACTGGCAAGGTACAAACAAGATTCTTTACTCATATTCTTCACTCATGATTTTGTGACTTCAGTTTTTTTCTGGTTCGAGTTGTTTGACTGTCATAAGGAAAACAAACCATATTGCAGGTTGTGGTTTGCATAGATCCTGCTTTCAACCAACAAGTTTCGAAGCTGTAACGCAAATCACAGATCAGTGCAACTGCCCACATTCTCTTTGCTCTACTTTATTTTATCATTCAAATATAAAATAATTGTAATGTTTGTCGTAAATCATATTAAATAATAAAACATTTGGTGCAGAAAATACTTCTTTTTTTAGTATATGAGAACGGGTTTGACTGTATATACAATATATTACCTCTAAACAGGAGGGTGATGTACAGTATTCTTTACCAAAAACCCATACTGTTTCAAAAACCAAAACACTTAAGATGGTTCAGCCAAGATTCTCTCTCCGAGGTAGTCTTTGGCTCTTTGCTGTGTTTTCCTGCAAAACTGAGCCCAACCGTCACGCACCCCTCAGAAGCTTTCCTTGTAACACGAAGAAGCAAAATCAATTGATTTTTGAGCTTCAATCAATTCCAACCTCTGTAGATGCACTTTCTTTTATAGCAATCTATCTACAAGCTACCCCATCACGGGGATGGTCGCACAAAAACGAAGTTTTGGAGCTGCAGAACTCATTGGATTGCGGGTGGTTGGCAATATCAGAACCTAAAATGGGATCACACAGACAAGATAACAAGTTTTGGAGTTTTTGTGCATAAACAAAGATGAGTCCTGCAAGGTCATACCTTTGAAATCTTCAGACCCTGAATCTTTACTATTATGTTCAGCTTGATCCACAATGTTTGGAGAGCAACAATCCAATGCACTCTGGCCTTCAACTTGAACATTTGCCTCAGGTTTACAAACATTATGGATGTAAGGCTCTATGAATTTCACTAAGCTTTTACGCTTGCGAGTGTCTTTCCGTGAAAGATCTTCAGTATTGAACATGCAAAAAAATAAAAAATAAAAATCACTGAGATCAACATCAACAATCAAATCAAGAACATTTATTATTGTTATTTTTTAATTAAAAAAAAAAAATGCAATACTACTATTTACCCGGATCCGTTGTGTTCACACTAGCATCAAATTTCAAGAGGCAAAGAGCAGCATCTACCACATCTCGACCATTTACCCTTACTATGTCTACCTGGAAAAATCTCTCTTCACAATTAGATATTATTATCTTTTTTTTTGAGAATAACAATCAGAAAATTTAGTTGAGTATTATCAGTGAGTGCATCTGATCTTCAACCAACATAAAACCTCATTACTATTCAAAACATAAAACAAGAGACTTGTTATATCTTGCAAACTATTTGCCCTCTATACATAGAGGATGAGGGGAGAAACCAATCGTTATTAACGTGAACCAGGGTCCACAATGCTAAATGACGTAGTTTTGAATTTTAATTTTGACGGCGACCTTTTTTTTTTTTTTTGTACTGTATGTGTCTTGTGTTATGCATTTCTGTGTCTCATGCTATACAATTTTATACCTTAAACGTATGGATTCTGTACTTGAAATAAAGTAAATATAACATGCGCTTTTGTGTCTTGTGGTTTGTGTTATTCGTTTTTGTCTTATGCTATGCAATTCTGCTCTTAAGAATATTGATTCTATACCTGAACTAAAGTAAATATAAAACATGTCTATGTGTCTTGTGTTATGCGTTTCTATCATTCTATGTCTCATGGCATGTTATGCAATTTTATACCTTAAGCTTAGGGATTCTATACCTAAAATAGATTAGTAGTGGTGTAACATATATCATATTGTGTCTTATTTTATGAATTTATGTCTTGAATTATAAAATTATGTGCCTATAGAACATATATTATCTACATATATCAGATTTGAGAATAAGTAAATATATATCATGTGTATGTGTCTTGTGTTATGAAATTTTGTACCTTAAGAGTATTGATTCTATACCTAGAATAAATTAAAATTTGTGTTGAAACATAAGAAACGGAAAACTACAAAATCCGTTAAAGCTTAAATATCAAAAGTTCAAAACGACGCTGTTTTGATTCAAGGTCTACAATGCTACGTGGACCCTAGTCCACGATATAAATTGCACAACCAACCATCCATAACAAGAAATGTTATAGTTGTTCTCATGCATATACTGCAAAGACCCTTTTTGACCATCTACAAACAAACTAGATAATAAACCCAAGCAACCCTCTCAAGAAAAATATACCCAAATTTCATAAGGTCAAAGGATCATATACCAAGACAGGAGAACATTTCCAATGAACTTCACACAACACACTACCTGCCCCCTCTGGTCCTAGACTAATTGTCCACAAGTTCCCTTTTGTCCAGTCACTAACAGGCTTGACAATTATTATTATTATTATTATTATTATTATTATTATTATTATTATTATTATTATTTAATTCCTTTACTTTAGACAATAAATCATTTGAGTTGTGGCATGTTATTGCTTGTGGGTAAATGTGGAATAAAAAAAACTGTGAAAAGTTACCTTTAGTTTGCATGGCTCAATCAGACGAAAGATCAAAATATCCCCTTTGAGTAATCTGTGAGAGATTGAAAATGCTCTCCAGCCAGCGCTTAATCCATGCCTTTCCAGAAGATAAGACGTTTTGTATTCATTTCCCCATTCATCTACCAATATAATATTGGTGTCACAAGTCGGAAGATACATGTCACAGAATGCCTTTGGAAGATGCTGCCATTGGAGGGAAGTTAGACCAAAAAAAAAAAATCGAACAAAATGACAGGAAAAATCATTCAAGGATTACCAGCCAAAACCCATGAGCAACATTTGATGGCAGCATACACTTTATAAAGCTAGGGAATTCATCTGATAGACTCGACAGCACCCTTTCTGCTCGCTCCAAAACAGAGAACTTAGCTTCAACATCATCGTACATGTCACTAAATGTAGCCCTTTTTCGTTTAATGCTGCATGGGCAATTTGGGAAATTAGTCGTGTGTTACCTTCAACGGGAATCGAAACACAGGAAAGGAGAATGAAGGCAGAGGATGCGGTGGTTAAGGTTGAATACTAAAACTGCTCACCTCTCTGATTTTTTGGGATTATTAGATTTTTCCTGTTCAACAAAGCAAATAATTTCTCGTCATTCCTAGAATTTAACAGCAGTAAATTCTTCATCTAAAACATGTGAACCAATTCAAACAATCACTAAATATTTGTAAAATTACCACAACACATATTGCAATGTAGATTAATAAACCCCCAAAAAACAATACTCTAAACTTGTTCTATAAATTATCTTCAAAAATCAAAACATATCCAATGGAACGACACCACTAGCTTCAGATAGCTATAATGACCTTTCAAGTTCTCTCAAGTTAGAAGAATGTAATGTAGAATGGCAAATTTTGCTTCTATAAATAATCCTCGAAATGTATCCAATGGAACAACACCACTAGCTTCAGATACCTAGAACGACAATTTAAGTTCTCTCAAGTTAGAAGTATGTAATGTAGAACAGACAATTTTGCTTCAACATTTGTCTTCTATAAATAATCCTCGAAATGTATCCAATGGAACGATACCACTAGCTCCGGACCGCTACAACAAACTTTCAAGTTCTCTCAAATGACTACTTTACCATTTCTATCTCTTCAGACCAATCACTTGATAGAAATCCGAAGCGTTTATGTTGAATCACATTTGCATTCATATTAAAAAGACCGTGCATAGTCATGGAAGCGTGCTTTTGAAGAACTTCCAGGTCATAGGACATAGCTGTATTCGCTAAGGTATATCAGTTACTTGATCATTAGGAACACGACAGGGTTCGAGTTTTTCCCTTTCCCAAAAAATTAGGGTTCCAAATGTTGTCCTGCCTCACCAATCAAACCTAACATTCATTGCTCCAAACAACCAGTCTAACATTGATTGCTCTGAATGATTCTCCATTAATCCTAATTTGAAACATCCTAAGAGCTAAGATTACCACAATACATAAGATACACAAAACCAAAAGGAACACGCATCACATAAACAACAAATCTATGCAAAACAGAACTCAAAACACAGATGCACAGCATAAACTCAAATCCGAAAAGCACGCAGATCCTTAAAGCAACAACATAATCTAGAAAGAAATTTTACTTGTTTAGCCTTAGATTTGAGAATTTTACGCTTTTTAGAAACTAGCTTTTCCTTGCTCTCCAATGGCATCTTCCTCTTAGTCTGCAACGCAACACGTAAAACCACAAACGATCAATAACGAAAGTAACTTAAAGGCGGAAACAGTCGTGTATATATATAATATATATGCATGTATTGTATAGTCGCGTGTGTATGTGTATATAAAAGAAAAGTAAAAAATGTATAGAGACAGAGACCTTAGAGGAAGAAGCTGCGGGCGTCGATGTGGACAGAGAATGAGAAAGCCGTACTTTGTGCGAACAGATTTCGGAGACAGGTCGTTTAACATTCGAGTGCTTAGTTTCCATGGTTGTCTTTTGGACTTTCTCTCACTAGCAGAAGTACCAGGTAGTCGTATACAAAAATGTATGTATATGTATATCAGTGATGATATACGGAGTATATGTGGAGAGACTAGAGAGAGATAGAGAGAGAGAGAGAAAGAGAGCCAACCAAGCTGAGAGAGACAGGCAAACGCGGGGCCAGGAGCAGACCAGGTTAGGTGGGTCCGACGTAGGACCGGCAGTCCACCGTTTTTTAACAAACGCGCCCATTTTCCTGCCTTTTTTTACTTTTTTTCTTTTTCTACTTTTGACACCCAACATTTTTTAAAATCATTTCAACAAGTTTTTACCCAAACCGGAAAGCAACAATTAATAAGGTGTTGTCGTTTCGGATTCTCTTGCTTTTCTTGATATTTTATTTTAAATATAATAATAATAATAACAAATTTGGCGAAAATGTGAATAACTTGTAGGAAATGGGAGATTACCCATGGTAAAATATAAATTTTTTTAATTTTTTTAAAAAGATGAATATGGTAAAAAAAGGAAAGTATTTAGATTTTGTAAATGAAAAACGAAAATTATTTTCCAAAAACAACATAAGTGGTGAAAGTTTTGGATACAATAAGGTTGGCATATCTGCAAGATTTTTGCTTATTGTCGGTTTTTTTTTTCATTTAAATTTCAAATTATGTTAGAATTGATAATTGTTAAAAAAATTACTAAAATTCCTTGTATTATTTTAGCATGTGAATAAAAGAAATTTAGGTTATTGAATTCATCAATGTCTTCTATTAAATTTGTACTTGATGCTGTTGTAGGATTGTAGGTGTCATTTTGAAGAAAAGAATGTTAGAATTATGAGACCATCTACAATAATTAGGGATATTTCTACTTTACATTGTCAACTAATATTCATTATATATTCAACATAATAATTTATACGGAGTATTATATACGGAGTAGTATATTATAAATAAATAAAACTAAAAAATTATTTTGATCGTGATATACAACTACGTAGGCACCTGTCTCTATACATATTTGTCACTATCAGTCATTCAGCTGGCACGCATAACACATAATACCTACTGAATTTCGCATGATTTGACTCTTTATATTTATTTATTTATTTTGTCAATAAATACAACTAAAAAAAATAAAAATTGACTATGGTAGACAGCTACGTATACGACTGTCTTCCTAGATATTTGTCACTGTCAGTTATCCATTTGGCGCGAATAAGACATACTATCTATTGAATTTCACATGATTCGACTCTATTTATTTATTTATATATTTATTTTGTCAATATATAAAGCTAAAGAATAAAAATTGACTAGGGTAGATAATTATAGATACAATGGTCTCCCTAGCTATTTATCACTGTCAATCATCAGATTGGCACGCATAATACATACTACATATTGGATTTCGCATAATTCAACTCTTTGTATTTATTTAGTTTGTTGTCAATATTTACCTATATGAACATTTCTCTATATGCGTCAATGCGTGTGTGACATTTCTAATATTTGATGTTGAAAATTTTATAGAATTTGTTAATGAATAAAAATCTAAAAACTAATAGCAAGCACATCGATATTATGATACATATTGTTTACATAGATCAACTTATTAGATTATATCATTTATGTCCAATCATGGTGGAATTTGAAAACGTTTACAAAAGTTGTTGCATTTAAGTAATGGATTTGGTGTTGGATTACCACAATATACATTGAGTCTTGTTATGTTTTCACACAAGACTTATGTGTGATTGTGTGAACCTATCTCTATTTTTATATTTTAAGAATGAGAAGACATGATGGTTTAGAGAGACACACCAAACATTTGTGTGTGTGTGTGTATACAAGGGTCAAATTGCAGATCTCTCATAAAAGGGGTCAAAGTCAAACTGTACAAGAAACGAATTTGAAAACGAAAGGGCTAAATCATGAGCAAACTAGGCCTAGCCTCTAGGTCCAAAATACTACCAAATCAACAGCCCAAGTTCATTCCCTGCAGCTCACATACTGACCCAAATCAAAGCCTCTGACCAGAATCCATTCAGTGGCCTGTGGCCATAAGTCTTAACAGAATTGTTTTTATTTTTCTTCTTCGAAACTCCACCGGAATACCGATACCGATGCCTAACAACGGCGTGGTTCGTGGCGGCGAGCCTGAGTCCACCCACCGCCGGATTTCGCGTTTATTTTATATATATTGCTCACATGCAACCACATTGAAAGAGTTGTGCAATACAAATTGGCGATTATAATAAACAGCTGTTTGGAGTAATAGTCCAAAATGATCACATGAATCCGGAGTCTAGAAGAAGGAAGTAGTCTGTTTCGTGATGGGAGAAAAGGGAAAACTTTTTAATTTTACAAGGAACCATCCACCAGATCGGCTCACATATTTTATTCGAGTGGGTATGTATAAGTGTAAATATAAAAATAAGTGAAATATCTAGTCAGTAATTACGCATCCCATGCCATTTTCAATTCCCTCAAGAACTCAACATTCTGTACCTCTCTATCTTGATGCTGTAGACAACTGTAGCATCAGATCCAAAGCACATGAAAGTGAAGTGAAACCCAAAGCCCACTTCCCCACGGCACGTGCCTCACTCTCAAGTCTCAATGTCAATCCCTCTCTCTCAGCTCTTCTTCCCAATTCCCATAATGCTACACCTCTCTCCCTATATACATAACTATCAAGAATTAATGTCGAGTTTTCATGTTATATGATCATTAATGAATGTGTACGTATGTACCACATCTATTAAATGCAACAGCAGATCAGATAAATCCATAACAAAAACGATGGACGACCCTTTTATAGCCGCTTTCTATCCCAAATTTACTCCGCTACTTTCCTCTCTTCCAGAGAGCAAACGACAAAATCCATCCTCAATAAAATCACAATAATTCTTATCCGGAGCTAACTCACATGCCCCCACCTGTATTGTCGTGCTCTCCATGCAACCAAATGGTCCTATTCCTTGAAACGCGCCACTTTAATTTCTTTCTGCGTCCATATCACTATCCTCTCACAGCCTATAGCGCACCACCTTTGTTAGGAAATAAAAACGGCTTTCGCTGTTATTTATAGTAACCACTGCACAAAACTAACCTTTTTTTTCCTCTCAATAAACAATTTTTTTTTTAATACTACTGACTCTATTACATTGTAGTTTCTGTTCAAACAAAGCACAAAGAGGCCTCCATTGAGGCTCGATCACTATATGTCATCTGAGCACAACATAATTATACTACTATTTGTAGTTTTTACTGTAAAACTAGTAACACCTAACCAGCTAACCTAACACGTATCATTCAGTTCCCCCACAGTGTCTTCTAGTACTGGTAGATCTGATCTCAAACTATGAACAACTGTGCTTACAGTGTGTGTGGTAGTGTATCAAAGATTATATATGCTTTGAAAATAATAAGATCTAATCAAGCACAGATGTTAGAGGTTGGAGCAATATAATTCTTCATATGTAAATGGAAATGGAAAATGCAATAATATATGCATGTACAAAGCAATTGATTAAGGTATGCATTGAACTAAATAAGATAAAAAGTAGAGCTGAGCAGCTAATAAGTTACGGGTGACCACATGATGATCAATTGTTAAAGGCAGCGATCCTGTCATGTTCTTCTTCGCAGGCTTTGATGACATGTGAACAAGGCTTTAAGGGAACCCACTCGTACCGCCCTTCCAGAGGGACGTCCTTCACTACATCATAGTTGTACCTGCGTGCAACGACAACCATTAGTCCATCACCTACCATGCATTCACCAGTGGATTTTCAGTAACGTGCAAGTTCTATTCTTAAATTATTAGGTGTTTATTTAATTTGGCTGAAGGCGAAACTGGAGATACTAGAATGAACAAGTGCCGTGTATATATATGACTTACTTTTGCTTGAATCTCTCTTGCTCGTATTTTTCAGCAGCTGAGAAGAATTCTTCAATCTCTTCCGCGGATGGCATCTCCGCTGTTGAAGGTTTCTGAGGAGAGGTCGCCGCCATTGAGACATTCTTTTTGGTTGATGAGGACTCCATTTCTGTTACCGAGTCTCGACGAAGCTCGGTTGTTGGCGTCGTCTCTCTACTGCAAAAAAAAAAAAAAAAAAAAAAAAACCTTAATTCCTGAGTTTCTGAGAAGCTATTATCGAGTATTCAACACAGCAGAATGCCTGTATACAGTATACGCACATGTAGACGTCCAAAGCAATTTTGAATCTGAACGAGAAATTTTGAAAATGTTATGTACCTCAATCTGCAGTTGCAATGAGCTGTATCGTCAGTTTCAAAAACCTCTCCCTGAAATTCAAAATTTAAAAACGCAAAATTAAATTCCAAGCAATTAAAGCATGAGAAACAGAAATTTTGAAGGAGCAATAAATTCAATTCACAGGAAAGACGACTGTGTTAAATTTCGAAGTTTTCCACCTTCAGATCCAGAATATTTTTCGCCACGTCGCTAGACTCGCAGCTTGAGCACCTCGACGTCACGGAGGTGGCCGGAGAAACAGAATTCTCCGACGACCAGTTCATCTTGCGATCATCAAACTCAGAATAAACCTTTCTCCGCTTATTCGAGCTGAAGCTCGTGACCTCCCTAGCTTTCATCCGCACAGCACCATTTCCAACTCCCGCCTCCGTCGCCGCAGCCGTTGTCGTCTCCCCGACTCGTTCACATCTTCTACACCTCAAGTACTCTTCCATCTCTTTCAGAAACTCTCTACACAGCTGTGAAAACTGCCACTGTATATACACACATATATATATACATGCAATGTATCTTTTTATGCGTGAAAAGCGAGCAGAAAGAGCTGTCTTTTGTGTCACTCACACTAGCCGGGGGAGTGAGTGAAAAATTCAGAATATGGGCAATATGGAAATTATAGTGAAGTTCAGGGGGGCAAATGGGGGATTTGACTGAAATAGATTAGATCGGAGGGTGGAGATTAAAAGAGGCGGTTATACTCCAGACGATGGATAAAATGATGAATAGAAGATGTGGTCCAGGCTCCGTTACGGTGGCAGTGCACATGGGAATGCCGTTGTTAAAATGCAGCAGACTCATGAGAATGATTACCGCTCACGTAGCTAATGAGTGGAAGCCACGTGTATTATGCAAGAACAACCGGTAAGAATACTGGGGATCGTTGGATCAAACAAAGGCGACACATTTTAAGCGGTGATGTAATGTACCTTTTTTTAAAAAAATTAAAAAATTAAAATTTGCCTAATCAACAATTCTATTATTCACAACATTTTTGTTAAAAAAAACAAAACTATATCATTGATTAAGAAACATATCAAGCACTCAAGCAACACGCCTAATACAATTTCTGCTTCTTTGGGAGTTGTTCGGTAAGTAAATGTAGCAGAAATCAGAAAGAATATTTCTTTCATGCAATGTAGTTGGGGGAAGAAGACGCAGAGATTGGTCTTTTCAGAGATATTCATGCTGAACGAGTGGTTGTACGATTTGGAGTATTGGAAGTTTCTACCATAGTGACTAGTGGAGTGGTATGGTAAAAAGTTAAAAACATATAAATATAAAGGTGGCATGATGAACAATTTTCTTATCATCACATTAGGAGATCAGCAAACCTCGTGACTTATAAATTAGCTCGGGTAGCAAGCTCTCAGTATGGATCTCACCGTTGGGAGAACACTCCCCCGATTGTATTCTTTTATTGCTCTCTTCGTCTTAATAATATTCTAGTATTAGTTTAGTTTTTTGTTTTTTCTTTTTTAAAGTAACGGTGGCAGAATCTGAAAGAAAGAATACTGTAAAAAAAAAAAAATGAACAATTTTACATTATATACTGTATAATATGGTGTAATATTGTAATACATTACGGTCTTATTTTTTCAAACTTCTCCATAATAATTTCCATTCTATATTGTTTTGTTAACATTACTTTTTCTAGATGCATGTAACTAAAATTGTGACTTTCCTTCCTTTGGAAGAAAAAAATATGTTATTGTGACTTTTCTTCCTTTGAAAGAAAAAAAATATGTTTACCATGTTCTCTTCTAAACAAAGGACCACTTGTGAAGTAGTATTCTTTCTTTAGAGAATTATTATACGACAAAAATTTCACATCACATTCTCCATTAGCCATTAGTACATATTCTTATCTCTTTCTATGTATTCTAGTGAAGAAGAAACATAATTATTGAACATATTCTTTATCTCTTTCTATGTATTCTAGTGAAGAAGAAACATAGATTATCTTGTCCAAAGTATGTAATAGCTCTTTTATATAACCTAGTACTCATTGTCAAAATAAAGGATCAAATGTTTTCATGCTCAAAATGTAAAGTAAACAAGGAATGAAAGAACACATTGGTTCGCCCCCTTTCATTTTAAAAACAATTTCTTCCCAATTTTCAATTCTGTCCCATAAGTTGTACGTTGTACCCATTGAAAACAAACAACTTTTTGTCTGCTTTTGTGGCGCCTTCTTATTTTCCACAAATAAGTATTCAGAATGAGATTTTCATAATATAGCAATTAACGGGTGATTCTAAACGCAGATTGTGGACAGAGAAACGACTATGTTGATTAAAAACGGCAGGGGCATTGGGTGCTACAAATTATCTTCTAAAGAAACTAGTTCCGAATTCAATAACTTTAAGACCAATTTCTATATACGAGAGCGACGAGTTGTGGTCCTAAGTCAGATATGAATTGGCTGGGCAAAGGTAAAATGACAGTGTCGCTCAAAAGCAAAGCAGATCCGTACCTAATTATAAGCTCTACGGAACCATAGTACAATTCAATAACTCAATAATGTTATCATGGAAGGGAAACGTTACACGGATTCCAAGTAGCTTCAGAGTTTCAGAGGTGGAGTCAAATATGCTCTGCACAGGTGACTATAAATTTCACCACGGCAAGTAAATCGAGTGTAAAAACTCCTAAGTAAACATAACATGTGGACTACATATTACCGCGGTTTCTTTTACTGTGTAACATTTTGGCTATGTTTTCTACTAGTTTGAGATATTCAACTAAATAGACAAATAGTCATTGCATTCACCTCTGGTAAAAGGGTAATGTGCACCTCAGAATCTTTTTACTCCAAATATCATGTAGGCAATATAAATAAATAATGGAGTATCTACAAAAAAAAAACTTAGTTTGAGGTGCCAATCTCCACCACTCCTCCAAATACTAAAAGAAAAAAGGGTGAGGGTGGGAGGGGATAAAAATTGTTATTCCTAAGCTATTCAGTGCAAGACAGATGATGGTGCTGCTGGGGTGTATCTATTGTGTGAATTTGTGATAAGACAATCAGGAAAGGAAAAATTACTCTTCTCATAGTGCTTTATTTACTTCAAAGAAGTTGGGGTGTTCCTTGTTGGCAGCATCAACATCATCTGGTGAAGCCACGGCAACCACGACCCCTTGATCTTTTACTGCTTGGATTGCATCCGCAAATTCCTTGAAATTGGCCAGCCTAAATACAAGAAAAACAACCCAAATATGGTTTCATTGTTTCTTTGAAACTCGAGTCATAGGACCACTAATCCAATTCCAATGCATTCATTTATTCTACCAGTGTATCAAAAGACTGAATGCAAGAATGGATGACTTTTATGATCCAATTCAGGTAACAATTAATAAATTTGATTAATCTTTACAATTCTGAGAACCTTCTGGATTATTAGGTTATGAATTAAAGCTAAAAGAGAGATTGTATAGAGGCTGCAAGATAATGTAAATTAAACATCACAGCACTTTACAAGTCATATTCTAGATTGACACCCACAAATATAAATCAAGTCTGTTTTACCTTGTGGATAATATTTCTTCGCGCCTCAATTGCCTTTCTTCTTCAGTAACCCCCAATAAATATCGAAGTAAACTGAAAACAGTGAAAGTCATTAGCTACAATGCTAAGTGCACAGGCATTTGATGTTATAGACTAAATAGAGTTGAACATTTGCCTACTTCCTAAAAATGAACCTCCATAACCACTTTTATTATAGCTAATGTACTCTACCAATCCCACGTGTTTGCCTTTAAAGTAGATATTGTACATCAAAAAGAGAAATGAAATTCCTCCAACCATTTTCATCTTATCAGTGAATACTAGCTAAATGAGCTCCATAAAACCCACTTCTTACCTTAGAAGTTTACATTGCATATCAAAATGACACCCACCACCACTTAAGAGCCTAAAAGGTGTCCATTCAAAATGGGATGGAGGATATATAAACACAAACATATAATAAAAGTCAACGCATATTGTCCTGAAACAGAAAAGTTCTTGACAAATGTTCACATTGCCAAAAAGGGGAATTCTTTACAGATATGGGATTATAGGAAAATTCTTACCTACTATATCCTTTTGCATCAGGTAGCTGGTATGCATCAACATCTCCAATTGTTCCGATAATTGCCTTCGTTAGAGTATCATCATCCATTTCAAGTTCTCTCAGGAAATCACTTGTTCCATCATACACATTAAGTGTCTTCATCAAATTTGGATCACGATAAGACAAAAATGAGAATACACCTGAAGAAAGAGATATCAAAGTACAGAGATGAATAAATGGAAGTAAAGAATAATAACTGCAAATGACAGGCAATAACAAGTATACCGGAGTGGGTGTCAAAATCACAAAATCCTCCATAAGCTCCACCACTGACTCGTACACGATCCCACAGCCATGTATTGCTTATGTACTTTGAAATAACATATGCACTTCCCTTAAGTTTATAGCCTGCATCATAGAGATTTGCTGCTTTCCCAACATAATTTACCTGGAAACAAAGCGTAGGTTTATTATCTTTGTTAACAAAAAGAGCATAAAAAATCTTAGAAGCAATACATAAGAGAATAAACTTACTTGAGTAGGGACAACTATAGCTTCATTTGTAGGAGAAAGCCGTGCATTCCATGCTGTAGGTTCTGCTAGAGACTTACTAGGAAGCAAATCGAGGAATGAACTAACATGTTTCTCAGCATTCATTAGATTTTTCTGGTCAGCTGTTAGATTAACCAGGCACCCATCCTTTGAAAATAGGGATCTCCGTATCTCTTCAAGAGATGAAGAAATTTCTGGCCAATTGTTATCAACTTTTACTTCAAGGTTTCTCAGAAATTCCAAATAGCTGCAAGCACATTCAATGAGAGAGTATTACTTCAAGTGATCTGATAAAGCTGATAAACTACACTGTGTGGCTAAATTGCACGTTTGCAAAGGGGAAATGAAGTCTGCTTCATAGTTTCTTCAACATCAAGAGGTGAGAGCAAAAAACAACAATAATACACCAGATTACTAGTACTAGTATCATAATCTTTGGCAATCAGGAGATGGCAATTAAAATACTAATAAAAGCTATACATGTTGCAGATACTAGAGAATCATGTTTAACCAATCCTGTGTTTAAGATCACTCCACAGAAATGGTAGCTATACTAGAAAATAATTAGAATGATCTACTCTTGCTCAAAGATCAATACCATTAGACAGAAATACTAGCATCATAGCATGTAACCCCATGTAGCAATTAATGTGTTGTAGGGTATAATCAACTGACTTTTGGGCCCATTACTATTCCCAATTCTCCACAAACCATCCAATAAAAAAACAAACAAAACAAAACATCATATCTCTAACCTGACACCACCCATTTGTTCAGACAGCCACCCTGCAACATTAAGTTTTGCATCCATCCTAGCAGCTGCAATGCTATGACCACTGCCTCTGAGTCGGTTCTGGAATGAAAAGACAATGAAATTAGATAATAGGAAATATCCCATATTAACATCAGATTTCTTCTCCCAAAACAATTAAACAAATCAGATACCTCCATTCTGGCTTTGCTTTGAGAAACAAACTGCTTGAATCGTTTTTGGTCGGTGAGCTGGACATCTTGAATAACACAGTTGATCTACAGCAACCACAAATGAATGGATAGTGAAACATTAATTTCCCAGTGGATAGTAAGAAAAGCTTTACTCAAGTGCCTCAAACTCCCCTACAAATTGAACCATAACCATTAATCACTTGCAATCAGTCATGTGAAAACTGGACTTACCAAGTTGAATAGATCTTCAATTCGTCCAGACATGGATTTGCCTCGAACAATCATATGGCTACATGGATCTACCTTGCCCCGCACTGATGAGGTCATAGGATACACTGAAATCCCTCCAGTTTT